TTTCCCTGACATCTATAATTTACAGATTGGGGTGTTCTTGTGACCTCTGTCTTTTGTAGTAGACAAACTAAATGCAATCTATTTAAACACCAATTCTAAGTATTTCCTGTAAGAAGCAAGGGGTTAAAATGACAGTTGAATGTAGCATTGTGAGGTAAATAGCTTCTGGTCCATTATGCTTTAAATTACTAAAGCCAAGAATGACCGTTCACAATAGAGGTGGTGTTCATACAGCCTTTCCTCATCACTCCAAGTCCAAGTCCCGAGGTTCAATGTGCATAATTGCAGCAGTGACCACATGCTTGCAGGAGGCTGCTGGGCGCAGGGAGGGCACGACCTGAAGTAATCTGAGGAGTGATGGATTGATGGTAATTACTCGTAAATGGACCCGGCTTGCACAGCAACGTTTTTCAGCTGTGGCAAAAAAACAACCTCCTTTTTTTCCACAGCTTGGGGTAAAGTTAATGACCGGCGGCTGTGCATGGCTTATTTGCATGATTAATTGACAAAATAGGGGGATTTATACATTTTCATCAATTACTAGGCATATTTCAGCTCTGAGGTTAATGTACAATGTGACACACATGAAATGGCAAGCAATTACTGCTCATTGCAAACAGCAGCAGTTCTCTTGGGCCCATTGTGCTGTTTTAATGAGGCTCCTGTGCTTAGCTGGATACCTATGTATCCCCTGCCATAGAATCTGTTGGTTTTCTATATATTTTAATAATTGTATATCAGTTGAACGGTCACTACGGACATTATTGACCACTAATAAAAAAAGAACAGACTATTAGTCTTTAAGTGTCTGGATACATGTATTATAAACACTGTACATGTATCCAGTATACATAACAATACATAATCATAAACAATATTTATAAGGTTGCATTCATTTTATAAATGAAAGCAGTAATTTAACATAGCTTTGGAATATTAGCGCCAAGTAAATTTTGTGCTGCCCAGTGGTCTTGTTAATGTTACTTGTTCCAAGTTGTCTATAAGTGAGAAACACAGGGGCTTTGCAATACTTTAACAATCAAACTCAGCCTGCAGGAGCTGGGTAAGAGATGTCTCCTCAATCAATGGAAATACAATACTTGTATTATTACTGAGTGGAGTGGCACTTACTCAGTATGGGGATATCACATATTCAGCATCTATGCTTCCTTCATTTACCAATTATCTGTTGTGGAATAATCAGCAGTAATGGTATTCCTTCCACCTGACTTGGAGTGTGGAGTTCGTATGTTCCAGTGTTCACATGGGATTTTGCTACAGTAGGTACTCTTAAGAGTGCAAAAACAGGCTAGTTTGGGTCAGATGGCATCCCTAAATTGTCCCCTGTATGTGTATGTGCTTGCATCTTGCGATGCAATGGTTCCTACTGAAAATCTGCCTGAAGTACAGTACGAAGGTATTTTCTAAAGGAAGAACTGAGGATGACTTTATGCAGTATGTGTCTCATTACATAGCTTGTGGGAAGCTCCTTTGATGTTGTCAGTGTTTTACAAGCTGGATTCATCCCAACAAAAAAGTCTATTTATATAGTCAGAAAAGAGCTTTGCCTGGCCGGTGTTAATATCTGTTTCAAATTATATTTCAAGAAATCACAAAATTCCTGGTTAAAGTAACAAAACTTTTTAAAGGTGTTAGCAGTAGAAAATGCTGTTTAGAATGTAATTGAAAGTAAGGCAAAACTGTCATCATTCACCTTTATGCACATGGGGCATAGCTCTGGACACAATTACACAATAATCAACTAGAATTATTCTCCTTTAATATTCAAAAACTGGTCCTGTAATTAAAATAATGGGGTAATAGTAAATATTAACTGGTAGTTAAAACCATCTAAAAAAACACATTTCATATTTTCATCATCATGTATTATTATTATTATTATTATTATTATTATTATTATTATTATTATTATTATTATTAAGTCTGTTTTCCTCATGGGCTCCAAAATAATTTGTCAATATACAATTTCACATACTTCTACGTAATCCTGCATTTTGTTTTCTAATATTATTATTATTTTTTTTAAGATCAAATAGGTTTAATACTGCTTTGAGTACACAGGCCCATTTATGGGCAAGTAAACATTAGTACATACGAATTAAGAAATCTGGTGGTGATCCAGCAAGTAGCGATGAGTTATTATATATGAGCACAGACTGATGGAACAGTAAAAACTATATATGGCAACTCTGTCCTATAAAACAGAAGAGGAAGAGGAATGAAGAGGAAAGAAGAGGAATGATCCTGCTGTAAATGAATTCCACTTGCTTAGCTGGGCCTAAAACATTCATAGATCCGGGGAAAACAAACCGGAACTTGAGATGAAACCTATCGGATCATTGTTCACAAAGCACAGCAGATGGACGGGCTTCCAAAACTACAGAGCACTGTAAAAATGATCAAACGCATTTCCAAAACGATTCCACTGAGATAAGGTTAAAATGTTCTGGGTAGTAATTTCTCTGTGCTTTGGAAAAATCATATGGTAGTGCCCTGTCTTTTCACCATCAGTGTAAACAGCTCCTGAGAAGGAATGACTGGAAATGATGGAGAGAAGCCGGCTGCTCCGAGCTGAGGGTGAAGGTGTGTTTCTCCGTGTGAAGTTGACTGCAGGCCGGCCTTTTCACTTCGCGCAAATTTGGCAGGCTGGTGACAGAGAGACATTCGGAGCTGAGGAGTTATGACTTGTTTATCTTCCCTTCACCAGGAGACAATGGAGTAGCCAGAAATCAACATGCATCTGGGCTGTTGTTACAGTTACAAGACCTTTGTGTAAGCCACTACAGGGATTACATTCTTTCGTTGTGTTGTAATGCTTAAACATATACCACGGAATAACAATTTTCTTTGACCCTTAGACAGAGTTACATAATTCATCTCTCAGACAGTGGAAATGTACAGAAAGGGGTGCAAACCACAGTGTAAAAGGGGGAATCCATTTGATCCTGAGCCAATGTCAAGAACAAGCAGAACTAGGCGCTGCATGGCATCACACACAGACACAGGGGGAAATAATGTCACTGAAACCTGCCTGACGTAGGCAATTTTCAGTGCACGCCATCTCCACCAAAGGGTGTTGTGGGTTTAAATACAACCAGCTTCTTTGAAGTTAAAACTCAGCCACTAAAAGTGCCAGGGCCCACAGTTCAAAGTGTCTCCGCCAAGCCTTCATTTATTCTATCCTCTCTGTTTTGAGCTTAAGACTACGAGCAACCACACGACTCCCGGACTGGAGCCAGTTATACCTGCATTACTAGTTGAAACGGTGTGGATTTCACAGATCTTCCAAATAGAAGCCATATATTATAAAGCTGTCCTCCCTACAGTGATTTACTGTATCACTGTAATGGATATTTAATTTTTTTCTCTAATTCAGCTACAGTATATACAGTATGTATTATGTTTTTGGCAAACAGATTCTTCTTACACAATATAACATTTGAGAAATATAACTGTGCTATTGACGAACATTCCTATCTTCAAAGTTTCATGAGCAATGGAGTTAATTCATGTACAATTTCTATGCTAGAAAATGCAAACCTAAGGTTGTATTTAAAAAGGAAAAAACATGTTGGGGTGGTCAGGACTGATCCCGGAGAGCCACAGTCCAGCACGTCTTTTCACCCTCAAATCAATTTGTACAGACTTTCAACATTTTGAAAATATTAATTATTGCAATTAAGTCAATTCCTTTCAATTAAGTGAAAGGCAAATTGATGACTTAAGGTTGACCTATAAAATTTGCTGGCTTTCCAGCACCAGAGTTGACCAGCTCTTACTTTGTTAATTATGTCCTCAGAGGAAGCACTGAGAATGTAAATGCCCAATAGTTTTGAATATAGGACATTTTATCTTCAGAATAGCAGTTAATATCTAATTGATTTAATCATTTAAAATATTAAATACAAACATTAATCATAAAACATAAAAAACTATTTCATAATTTATTAATTGTAAAACAGCACTTCAGGTCTTTAATAAACTAAGATCTCTTACCCAGATCTTTGAAAACATATATGCCAAATATTAAATGTTATATACCGTATCTGATAGCTACAGTATATTATCTATGATACAAGAACTATTGCATACCTTCAGCATCTTATAGACATTTAGGCTCATACGTTTATAAACAGGACACTTCTAATACTAAAATGATTGCATTTAAAATTATTTGCCGTCTTTGCTAAAGTGTTCATACACATTCAAATTTAATGCTGAGTTCTGTTACATAAAAGGACTAAACCACTTTCAAAAGAACAATTAATGCATTTAAAAGCTGGCTATTTTGTAGGTACTGTATAATAAAAAGTTAAATTGCACAGATTACATAAAGATGAAAATAGGTATTTACTGGCATTGTGATAATGGACTGCATCTTATGTTGGTTGGTCCTGTCGAACAATTAATGGAATAACCTTGGTAGTCAAGGGTACTGTACATAGCTCATTGATCCACGGTGATAACTTCCCAGTAAGTGTCTATTTTAGTATCTCACAGACTATTTCTGCTGTGTAAAGTCATTGACTTTATTAACAACTGAAAAACATGTAAAACCACATGGAAAGGTGTTGCTAATTGAAAGAATGTAATACTTAAAAATGCAAAAAAATATTTTTACATTTCATTCCCAACAGTGAGAGTTCACCTGTTGTATACAGTACATACCTATACAACAACTCATTAAAGAAGATACACCTCAATAAACAAATGGATGAAGATGATGACATGATGAAAATGGTGTTTTTTTATTTGAAAGGCAACAAAAGGTGCAGTTTCCATTGAATCAAGAATATTTTCTTGGTTGGCTTTTGCAGCGGGCCAGTATTGTATATAGTTTTACCTCCAAACCTCCTGTCATTCAATCTTGGTACTCCATTCATACCTGCTTATCATCCATCAGTGAGTAAGCCAGCAGGCACAGACAGTGGGACAGACGTCACAGAGACGGGAGTAAAGTAAGGTAGACTATACAGCACCTGTACCTTCTATGAGCAACTCCTGCCCATGGCTGCCCAACAGAGTGCGAGAGAGGAAAGGTGCAAAGTCCACAAAAATCTCACGCAAGAGAGGGGCCACTTTTTCCAGGGCCCGTTCCAGCTTTGTCGTGATGCTACAATTAAAAAAAGAAAAGGGATAAAAACATTCAATAGACCAGGCAAATTCAAAAGAGATACAAAAACAGAGTCTCCCACTACAGTCAACACTGTCACAAGGGAGACAGGAGATGTGGTGTTTACCTCAAATGTTTTTTGTGCCATTTCTGTGTCAATATTGATGAATTCTCACATGAAACAATGGAAGGCACCAGCAATATTAAAAGGATAACAGATTACTGGCTAGCTGAGCACACATTTGGGTTATGGATCCTAATTACAGTACTTGCAATCCCACTTTGCTAAATGTCTGTCGATACAACTCTGAAAGATGATTTATAATTTCTTTTGTTATTCTCTAATATACAGAGGAAGGAGTGGCACGGTCTTAATTTCCCATACATTATGTAGGTATTTTTGCCAAATGCACATTTGGTGAGAAGGTTTCATGCAGCCTATTAGACCAGACTAGAGCATATCTAAGAAAGCCGTTTGCAGGCCATTAATGGACAATACACACATTCCCCCCTGCCCCACCCCCAAATACATAAAAAAGTAACAGAACTTATAGTCTTAAAACTGAAAAATGTACACCTTTTTGATTAATAGGGCCTTAGCTTTAAAGCGAGTATCTGGTAGTGTGAGCAGGCATTAAAAGGCCTGGGTGATGCAATGGAAATGTCCTTGCCTAAGACACTGGCCTGCACCTCTGGGGCCTGGTTGGAATCCTGCCAGGGAGCTAAAGGATTTGAGTTCTGGCGGTGTCAGCCCGGCTCTGAGTGGACATTGGTCCACATCGCAAAAGGCACTGAAATACAAATTAGCAGAGACATAGTAGTTAAAGAGTAAACAGCTTCAAAGAGCGTTTCAGACTTTATTTTTTGGCCACCTCTATACCTATTTATTATGTTTGCACTTGCTCTGATGAAACTATTTGATTTGCATTTGTGTCTGTTAATTGTGTGAATCTGTGTGTTTAAGATACACAAGTGGCTTATACACATGGCCTTTGCTGTCACTTGCTCCTTCATTAAATCTCCCCATGTAGATATTTTTTCTCTTATGTAAGAGAACGAGCCTAAAACAGCCCAAGTATGGTGAACAGCATGTCCGACAGTCACACATGGAGATTTAATGAAGGTGCCAAAGTGCTTTATTTACAGAAGGTGCTGTAAGGCACCACTCAGTAAGCAACAAGATGATTACTCAGTATAAAAACAAAAAAAAAACGACTCCTTTTACAGAGTCCTCGCTGAACTATAATTCATAGTTTTTTCTGAAGGGTGGCTACACCAATTACCAGTCATTTCAATAAAAAAAAAAACGAATCTCTTTAATTCATACATTTTATCTTCAAAGAACAATTTCATATTCATATTTCTTAAATAAAAAGACCTGTCAGGCATTATGTTTTATGGCAGTAACAGTCACACTTCTCAATAAGGTCTTACGCTATTGAGACCTTATTGTTAGATATTAAGAACTGGTCTCAACTAAGACCAGAGACCTAGGTCTCCTCAATGAAGGAGATTTGGCTGCCACTCTCTTTTGTAGTCTGAGGTACAGACTGAAAAGAACAGGTCAGCCATCTTAAAGACTCTCATGAATTGCTGTGCAATTATACATTTCTATTGAAACGTTACTGTGTGTACAAAGCAACTGCCTCAACTTAGTAAACCTTCTTAATTTTAGTAAGTGAAACTAATTATTGTCAGTGAGCTCACGTCCTTTAAACTCCTTGAAAATCTGAGCAAGGACTACTTAAGACCAAGTGCTTACGGATGAAGTTGCTACTGTCTGGAAGTTATAGGCATGGAAGGGATATGAAACATCCCTGCACAATGAAGGAAAATCATTTTGTCACACCATTGGAGTCATTGGGAAGGCATAATTCCTGTTAGGAATATGTTTTTCATATTATTTTTGCAAAGGTGACAGTACTGATCCTCTTACACTGCAGATGTTATGAAATCTTGATACATTAAAATATTATCACAAAATCATATCATGATCAATCATAAAATAACTAACAAAGATTAAATTACTAAAATTTCATCCATAGTATCTGTTCTAAGGAACGAATCAAGACAAAACAAATAAAAAAGTTATTAGGTTTTGTGTAAGACATTGAAGTTTTGCAGTATGTTGTTTCTAGACTATTTCAGTTTCACATTTATGGACAGGATTCAGTTTGGTTGATTTGAGAGTCATTATTGAAATCGTTTGTAACAAGTGCAGATCTGTTATTAAAGATATGTACTACAGCAGTGCAATATACAGTATGCACTCTGTTCTCTTACATAATATTCGCATTGCACAAAATAGTGTAAGTTAAAAAAGTTAATAAAATGACCCATATCATAAATGAATGCAATTAAAGAATAAAAATAAAAGACTAAAACAGTTTCATTAGTTCACAGAATGAACATAAGGCCCATTGTGTAACTAATACTTGGTATGAAAACTAGGTACATAAAGATTTATGTGAATGAATGATACAAATTCAATTTGGAAAAAAACACAATTCACATTCCAAAGTGAAATGCCATAAGAAACTGTTGCCAAACACTACAGAGTGTGGTACTTTACAAGGGGTATTCCAAATGAATTTTAATTTGCCCCTACACTCTTATAAGTTGTCAATATTTGCTTTTATTGTTTATTATTCTGTAAAACCATGCCATGAAAAAACTACTGAAAGTATTCTAAATTCGTAATAAGCATACTAAGATTACATAAAGCAATGTTGTATATAACTGTTACACTCTTACACTACTGTATGTGCACCTGTTTCTGCAACAAACCAGCTTTGTCCATTTCAATTACCCTTTAGACATGTGTTTCAAAGTTGCTTTTACTGATAGTTCGCTGTAAAACCAGAAGCAAGAACAGGGGCCTACAATATGATAAGCAAAATTGTAAACATTAACAATCAAGAAACAATGACAATGACGTGCTTTCTCACGTGTTGAGAAATTACTGTACTGTATGTGGTGAGGACTCTTCTGTAAACATCTTTATAGTGAAGAGAGAAACTCTGTCCTTTCCTTTAGATTTTATTTTATTCATGCACCTCAAACATGCAAACAATACATCAAATTTTGCTACACCTCAAAATGTGCTTGTACTGTAGTTTCTGAGAAACCAGGCAACCTCTCATATGATCAAGTGTCTATAAAAATAATAAGTAACAATTACCAGTTTCTTTTTTACTTCACAAGAAGAGGCAGAGCGAAGCACGGTTTGAAAACTGCAACAAAATACAACACCAGCCAAAGCGCTCTTAATAATATTCAGAACAAACGCAAACATAATAATTTGGCAAGGGCATATGGGTGAATTTTTATTTGTATGCATTCGTGCTTGGGAACAGACCCCAGGCAGGGTTTCAGCACATGTGAAAGTCCTCATGGTGAGACCTAGAGTACTTGTGCGCCTAGATGTGTGGAGTGTTGTGAGGGACTGGAAACAAGCTTGTGTTGAGCGTGTGATGAGCACATTCCAAACAAGAACAGTGTGAAAGGGAGGGCTGCAGCAGACCCGTACCTCATGTTTTCCACAGTGTCCTCCGGCATCGGAGCGACTGTCTGAACAGCCGGAAGGTTTTTGCTGGTGGCGCCATTCACGAAACTGGAGGAGGAAGATGCGGAGGAGGAAGCCGAGTCTGTCGCGCCTGCAGCAATCGGAAACAACCACATTTGTCAACGGGCAAGAAGAGCCCTCCAATTAAAACATGGTACCCTATGCAAGTGCTCAGTGCATACTGGGAAAGATCTCACATTGTGTAACCGCTAAATTTTGCAGAAGACAAGGGCGAGATAGTTGTGCGCATTTAGTATGCATTAACAAAACCATTTCTCTTGTAATATTTTAAATAAAGATTTTATGCTAGATATCCTCCAGTATTTATCATTTTAAATCATGAATAACAAATTTAAAGTAAAGATTTGCATCCATTGCTTGGAAGCTCTGCTATTTCTAAGAAGAACTCAGGTTTATACTAAGAAAAGAGCTTGGTTTTTGACTGTTGTATTTCCCTTCAACAACAACAACAACATCTGAATGGGCATTTAACAATCGAAAAACAGGACTGTTCAGTTACTTTTTTCATCCATTAATCTATTCCCAAAATATTTCACTTTTTTAGGTGAATTCACACAGAACTGCTCCCACCTCACCTTTCCAGGACACCAGCTGTTTATTCAATGTTAGAAAACCATTGAACCAACACTGTTGGTAGATTTTTCTATTTTTAATATTTTTTTTTAAAAAGTAAAAAATGATTACATTAATTGAATACCAAATAGTTCAAGTCACTGTCCAAGGGCTTTTCTACAGTCAAGATCATTATTTTCCTTGTTTATTATTTTTTTAGAAAAAAGGGACCATTGACATTGTAAATTAAAACTAGATTTTAACATGTATCTAAAACTTAAATATCTGTATGCTTGAAGCAGTCCTTTAACTTTAACACATATTTATCACTCCTTCTCTCAGGATCATGGGAAGCAGAGCAGTTATAATGGCAACATGTTTAATAGGAGCTTGAGGTCCTAATGGTTTTAACATTAAGAGTCCTTTCAGATTTCTATACAGTATGAGCCCTGGGGCAAAACTATAGACTCTGCAAGGTCAGGGTGAGAAGTCACAGAATAAGAATACATCTCCTCTTGAATGTACAGATTATAAATTTTGAAGCTCTCTTAAAGCCAGTATGTTATTTTTTAAATTTGGAACGAAAACATTTGCTTACTGTAAGTGTCAAAACATTTCTTGCTTGATTAAGGCAGGTATTTACCAAAGCTTTCAGCAAAAACTGCCAAACATTTTCTTTTCAAATTAAAGTCCACTTATTCAGCAATACTTTGATACTTTAAAATTTAGAAAAAAATGACATTCCAAAAGTCATGAGAAGAAAACAAGTGCCTGAAATTAGTATTTTATTAACCCCATCTTGATTTTTTCTCGATTTCCCCATGTTTAAAGAAGCATAAAGAGAGCCTGGACATATGAATGGGGGAATACTCCAGGTAGACTGATAATAAGCAGGAGTTTTCCATCATCCAGAAGGTAGGTTTTGAATTAGGCCTAATGTGCCACTATCAGAGTCTGATGTCTGGTTTGTTCAGAGGGATGTGTGCGTGCAAGCTCATAAAAAGCCAATGGGAGCTTTCTCTATAAATGTCTTTCAAGTCTATGATGCTATCTTAATTGAAAAAAAACACATTATTACACTTCATTCTGTGCACTTGCACCTACTTATACTCACTTATAAAATCTGAGTTTTAAATACCTATGAAGAAAAAAGGTTGGAGAATATGGGCATATCCATAAATGTTGCTTTATGCTTTGATACATAGAGTAAGCAGGGTACTATGAGTAAAATACAAATATTGCTTCTCCCTTCAGAATGAATATTGGTCTAACAAAAAGAATCAAGCAAATAGAGGTGGAAAGAGAGACATCTAGTGGTTCGATTAAGTCAGTAAATTAAGAGAGACTGATTCATAAAAGGCTGGATTTTTATGTTCTATTTAGAAGACGTGTTTAGACAATGTCTTCATTTGTTGGCTCCTTAAGAGCAAGAATTCCCTAGGTACAATTATTTAGTCATACATCTGTGATTTTTTTTTTCATTATCTGAACAGACCTGCAGAAATAATCCCTCTGCTGTCCATTTCAAAACATAATGAAAGGCCGAATAAATCAGTCTCAGCCAGCTGCGTTTTTTAAAATTGAATCTGCACAGTGCAGGACCATAACGCAAACTTTAAATGGCTAAGTGAAACAAAAACAAAACACAATGGGATGCTCGTGCTACAAATATCTGAATGGGACACTCCTGATGAGTAGTCACTAGCTCTTTTTTTAAGGAAGAAAGTGAGAAACCGCTCACCTGTTGTGTTAATCATGCTTTTTGGCGTTGCTGAGGCAGCAGCAAAAATGTTGGGTGTGCTTCCTGAAGCAAGTCCTCCTGTCGAGCTGGCAGTGCCAACCGTGTTCACTGCCAGGCTGCCAGGAGGAGGCTTCTTCACGGGCACCACGACACTCCTGTCAGGACAGGTGACAAAGGACACGCAGCTCGTTACGTGCGACTCCAGGAACGAGGAATTGTACAGGTTACAGCGGCAGCCAACAAGACAAAGAGGATGTGAAGGGAAAGTAAGCAGATCGACCGCCTGTGTGTTACGCACGGACCAGTTACCTCTCAGTTCTAGCCTTCATTACCTTTTCCTTATTGCCTCGAAGCCAGACATGAATTTAATCTATTATACTGTTTGCAGAAACACGAAAAGAAAAAGGTATACTTCCATGCAGTGGTGCAATGGCTTGTTACCAAATATAACAGAACCTATCATAAGGCTGCTCCAACAATCTCTCTTTACAGCTTCATTCAAAATCACTACGCAGGTATTAAGGACATGTAAACATTCTGCGTAGTGTACTGTGCTGATTCGTTAGGTTAACTTTAAAGTTTGTAAAGCTAAAGCAAATCAACTACCAAAAGACAGGCAGATGCTGGAAGCCCTGTTCAGTCATTAACATTTGTGTTTGAAACAAGACAAGTTCCAGAATACGTCTGTGGGACAGGACTGACATACTGTACTGTATATTATATTTTTTCGCAGAAATTTGTAATTGTTGTACCACTGCTCCATGCATTAAACAACATGGATCAATGTCATAACTGACATTGAAAAAATCTGTTAATGGTTGAATGTCATATTGTTAATCAAGGCTGCAGCTCAATCGTATGACTGAAAAAGGATTTACTTTTTGAAATTGTAATGAACGAGCAAAAGATATCACTGTTCAGCTTTGCTTAAGAGAAGGAAAAAAGTCTTCTCCTAACATTTTCACGAGAGATGATCTCTAAAGTGAAGAGAAGCACATAAAATATTAAAGGCAGAAGTTAAGCACTTAACTGATAACCCTGTGTATATAGCAGTGTACAAAAGTATAACCACACCAGATATGATGAACTGTCCATATCCTCTGTATTTAGTTTGAGAAGGGATTAGGCTGAGATAGTACATTCCTTGCTTCAGAGAGTTTTTCCAGGTACCAGAGAAAATGCACTCTTATCAGAAAATCATACTGTATCTGTTCTGTAGTTCAAGAAGACGCCAAACACTCAGTGTCACCTACACAGTGTTCATGTGATAAATTACAGCTCACTCTGCATTGTAACTCAGCATGGATTTAATAATCCTCCAGTCATGTGCTGTTTAAACTCTAGGCACCAGTGTTTGGCATGTGAATAATAGATTTTAAACATGTTATCCTTTTCTTTTAGAAAAAGATATCGAGGCATAGAAAATAAATTGTTTTAAGTGGGTTGCTGACAAAACAATATTGTTTAACATTGAAACATGCTTGGACATGCAGAATAATAAATAATGTGCGTTGTTTTTGAGGCCCTGTAGAGTAAAAGTGTCTGGGTTATTTACTTTGGGGTCAATTTGGGGTCAAAGGCTTTACTACATTTTCATGATGTGTAGAAGGTCTTCATAACACCAATCCAGAGATCAAATGGCAGGGTTCTGGTTCAATAATATCCCTAGTAAGTTCCTGTTTACTAACAAACAAAACATCTTATTCTGCAGTGAAGTGTACATACAGTACCTGTCACTTCCACCCTAAAAGACTTCATCCTTCACCTCCAAATAACTGAGGTTATACACTGACCACAAGCTCCAGCATGATATAGAAGGCAAAATGGAATTTCCTTATTTCTACTGACATTTCTCAAAGCTCACTGCCTGGAAGTGATCAGTTGCAGTAATTCAGTGCACCATGTCCTTCTTTCAGAGAAAAAGACCATGGTGGACGTCTCCTTGTCATTTGGAAAACATTAATCCCGCACAAGTGATTACTATACTTTGGAACTTCCATAATTTCTAGTGTTTTTTTCAGATTCCCTCTGAAGAATTTAATTAGCATGATAAATACTATTAGAACAAAAGTAGGGTAAAATAACGACAGTGAAACTGTTAAAAATAAAACAAACCATGAAGACGGCAGGAACTACCAACTTACCGTGTATTAATTGAGAGAAATATTCCTATTGCATTGCAAATTAAGACTTACTATAAGTGTTAATTAGAAAGTACAGCACCACTCTGAAAAATGTTCATTCTATTAAACTACTGCCTTTTTAAGGAGTGTTAAAAGTGAGATCGCAAATTGTCTTTTTTTTTTCCAGCTACAACAATTTCAATCATCCTTTATTTTTCACCAAAGCTTTGGATTGCATACTTATGTCCTTCATAACACTTAGCAGTTGTAAAGATAATTATTTAGATGGTGTAATCAGCATAGAGTCTTTGGGGCTGGCCTGCTTTCCTGTAGCAGTAAACCACTCAACTGTTGTTTGTAAACTGAACAACATTCCTCTCTGCTGAGACTGTGTTCTGAAAACGTCAGAGCAAGAGAAGTGTTGTGCCTGCTTCTGACAAAGAGACTGTATTGCAATGTCCCAAAAAATTTTGAATCCTGAAGTTAACTATATCATAGCATTTGATATACTGTTTAGTGACAAGATCTGTTCAAAGAACAAGATCAGGCAGTCAGTAAGAAATGTGCTCAAATATTCAAGTACTTTGCGATGAGCTGCTGCTCTTAAATGTAAATGAAAATAGTGAAAATATATATTATTTATAACTTTTGCCATTATTGTAAGACTTTTTGTAGAAGCCCTGTTAACTATATAATTATACAAAACAAATTCTTCAGCTAAAAAAGTTAAAGCTTTATTCATTTGATATCTTTTAGTTGGAATCACATAGCACCTTTCACCATTGTAACATGAATGTTTTACTTAATTGACTTACTGAAAGGGCAAAAATAATGCAAATATTTTCAGCACCCTTTATTAATACAAATCACTTAACGGAATAATCATTTAGAGGTAATTTGTGATGGAATATAATTGGATTATATCACAAATAAGATTTAAAGAAAATGAAACTGTGTCCTAAATTACCGTGCGAAATTTCATAGTAAACACATGTGCTGGAAAACCACAAAATGAATAATGGAGCTGCAAAAAATATATCATACTATTATTATAATAATAAAAAACATAATAGCTAATCACACTGGTTTAGAGTGAAACATATGCGATTGGTAAAGAATAATGTAAAAAAGGAATAAGCAGAGGTTAATTCCATGTTGAAAAATAAATAGGTGTGAGACAGAAAATCAGCTGAATGCTTTTGTTCATAATTCAGAGTGGAATTAACCTCTGCTTTTCCCTTGCACCCTGTATACTGATGCGGCTACACAAAGAATTATAAATTTGCAGGAGTCAAAATTAAACCTGACCTTATTTTTTTCTTACCTTTGACTAGTCATAGAAAGGTATGGGATCATCATTAGTAACATAACAAAAGTTTTTTTTTTATTTGTATCTTTGTTTTTTTTTTTAAAGTTTTGATATTTTCAATTGTTATTTGACTTTGAAAAAAGACCTCAAAGTTAAATTGTGAGGAAAATGCAATTGGACATCACACTCAGCTGTCTAAAATAAATAAAAAAAGATCCTCTTAGATTGGTCATATTCAGTGCATCTCTTCTGGACAGATGAGGCAAGAAGCAGCACCATATTGAACACTAATTGAAAACTCCACTTGCCCAGAAACACAGGAAACAGGGGTCTCATGGAGGCGGCTCACAGCTTCAGAGTTTGAAGGGAAATTTTTTGATGTTGTCACTCCCAATCTATTGAGGGGCTGACAGACAATCGAAGGCTGCTGTCTGGGCTGGCAGGCTCATTTCGCTGGCAGGTGGCAAACAATTAGACACACCAATTTGTGCCTCCTGATGACATTAAAGCATGAAACAAAGTTGTATGCAGCGCCGGCTGATTTGTGTGAAAGCATTTCAAAAATAATACACTTTGCCGTGGCAACTCATTTCAGGCTGCCACCTCCCATTATGGGTTTGAGCGGTGAAGGCGACAGGCCTGGGCTCAGCGTGGCGTAAGGCCGCTTCTGTTTAATCTGTCATCAGCGCCCTGGAGACCCTAATCCCCTCCTTTCATCAATATCACCTCATCATTTACATTCAAAAGTCCTGCGCTCTGCGCATACATTAAAGAGGGTGGCAGGCATTGTGCAGGAGACTCACCAGCTCCTCCACCTTTTTTTTCTTCTGGGCCCCACGGACTAACGCAGGAGACAAAGACACGCCATTGCTGTCCTCCAAATTGGGCAACAACAACAAAGAAAGGGCAACTGGAAAGCTCTGTAAACTTTCCATTATTTAAGTTGAAAGTTTAAAATGAATACAACTTCAAAACTGGAAGAGGGGCCTTTTTTCCAAGTACTGCACACAGGCGATACACAAAACGACCAAACCGCAGGCACTGTTGTTTAAGACTCTCTTGTTTTGTCATGTTTTTCGGGACGAATCACCATACTAAGCATGCAAACAGAATGAAAAGAAAAAAAGATACAGAACACAGAATACAGAAAATTATACACTTGTAAAGTAGGGCATAGCCAGGAATGTGCTTGTGGGATTGTTCAGTGATAAGAGTAACATAAACAGTGATAGTTTGACTCCATAGAGAAGTCAGGCAACAGTACACTACTTTACACAAAAACGTCTCAAACAGCCATGCTCAGGCCTGAAGTAATATCTCTTGATTGCTGGACCGAGGCCTTTATCTTCAAATGGAATGTAAATAAACCATAAAAAACATCAAAAAAATATTTTTTAGCATATTTTAAAGGCAAACGTCTTGGCAACTGAATAAAACTTTACAGAGCTCAGCTGCATAATTTATTAAATCGTCCAGACACAAGAAGAGCTTGGGAAGAAACTGAAGCTGCACATCATAAAATAAAAACTAAAAAATTGATCTAATGACTTATTTTTTTAAAACCTGGGCTGTTTCCCAGAAATGTATGATGAAATAATTTCTGTAATGCTGCTCTGCTTTCAACATTCATCTCAATACACATGAACAGAGGTTTAATTTTATCTCCTTTAAAAAACACAAAAAAGCAAAGCAAATTTTTTGCCTTCCACATTTTCAATTTCAACCAACTTGTAGTCTTCCTGCCATCGGCGTCAATTACATGTTCGGCTTATATGTTCAGTACAAGAAAGTCAAATGTCCATTTCCTATTTTCTGTAAATTGCTTAATTTTTTTTTATTTTACAAAAGAAGAAACAGTACTTGGACTGTATAGTTTGTGCTAATAAGTACTGTCATCCCTCACTTTTCACGGGTTTGTACTTTGCGTTTTCGTTAATTCGCGGGTCGCCCCCCCAAAAAAAATTCAGGGGTGTACAGGGCAGGCGATGGCGTTTCCGGGAGCCCATGTGCATTGCATACTAGTCTGCCTTTGTGCCTTTTAATGTCTGTAAACTCCCTGCGTTTCGTTGTTCAAGTGAAGTTTTGTGCCCCATATCCATTATTTTTATTACATATGGAACCTAAACGTACTTCTTGGTCTTGTGCTCGTAAACCTGGACCTAAAAGATGCAAGAAAATGATAACTGTGGCAGAGAAAGTTGCACTTTTAGACACGTTAAAAGAAAGAAAATGGTATATATTGTTTATTGGGTAGAAAAAAATAGTTATTCATTTGATACCAAGACTTTTATGCTTTTCCTTTGTCTCCCACCACCCTTTCCATGTATCCAAAAAAATGCTAAAATCAAGCAATATGCTGTTGAATGTTCTCTTGATCGATTAGAAAAAGAAGACTAAAATATTGTTTTTTTGGAGACCAGGGTTGTTTTGGAGAGGGTGGTCAATTATTCGCAGATTTTTGTTTTTCGCGGGAGGTCTTGGGACCTATCCTTAGCGAAAAGCGAGAGATGACTATACTCAGTCACAAAAAATGGCACAGAACTCGAATAATATTATACCAGAAAAAACATGTTGTATGTAATAAACGCTGAAATGTGTTTCTACAAATGCCCCTATTTCCCTGTTGTGTGCCTAACACTGCTGATGGACAATTTTAGCAAAGAAGAGGGAATTATTAGTACTGTACATGGGGGGGTAGATGCATGTGGCTGGGGGAAAATTCAGAGGAGGAAAAGAGGAACCTTTAGCAGGGGATCTTGTTACCTGTCAAAAGAGTGAAACTGCATGGGGAGGATGGCCTGCGCTTCCCTCTTCACCGCAGGGTCAGGGTAGGGCAGCGGCTCCGGTCCAGACTCTGCCCCTTCCACAGGCGCGGCCACGAGGCTTTTGAGGATCTCCTTGACGTTGATGCCCTTGTTGCCATGACTGATGCTGGAGATGGAGGGGGTGGGCTTCAGCATGTCGGCGCTGGGGCTCTCCGAGAGGCTTTCCTGGGACTTCTTGACTTCAGAAGACAGAGTGGAAAGCAGCTCGCTCATGGCGTCGGGCCCGGTGCTGGGCTCCAGGTCGGTGCCATTCAGCACGTTTGACACCTGCTCTTCTCCGATCCCAGAATCCGTGTGAGGGAGGGAGCTCTCGATGTGAAGGTCTTCTACCGGGGTTGGGTTCTCTTTCTCTTTGCTGCTCTCCACAAAAGTTGGAGGGTTTTCTTTAAAAGACAATACATAATAAAGTTAGTTGTTTTTTTCAGTTTTGTCAATCCTTTGCTTGCTGAATGCTTTCTATTTTCATTTCTTTTATAATTTTGCCCAAGGTGTCTGAGGGCCCCATTTATGTTTGCCAGGTTCAAAATATTCTATTCAGAAAGACATTCCCAGATGTTCATCAAGGACAGTTTTGGGCAAGATTTAAGACTCTCATTATTCGTCTGGAGGCAAATGTGGACGCCCAACATAAAAAATCACATGAAAAAGTAAAAGACACACAGGAGGAGACAAATATTTTCACTTGAGATTCTATATTGACTCCTCCACACAAAGTGTGCTGCTGAACCAAGTGTGGCTCTATAAGTCAAGGGTTCTTCAGCTTTTACATGATGCCTAACTAATTCCAAGTTAGCTCATTTTGATATGCACTTCATCTATGGTCTGAGACATAATTTGGATTAAACTATATGGCAGTAAGTCCAAGGAGTGCTCAGAAGTCTTAAAATGTATAGGACAGCTGCGGGAGTAATCCAAAAAAAAGTATGCATTTGCTAAAAGTACATTTGTGCAAGAAAAATCTGAACATTTAATAAAATAGTAAGATTAAGTTTCTCAAAGGAATTTTCTACTAGCAGTTTCAGTCTACAATCACACAGGTAGTAATGACACAGTCCATCACTAAAGACTGCTACACCGTAAGGGCCAGGGTACAATACCCTTGATTGACAGGTAAGAATCTATTTCAACCAGAGGTTAATCAGGATCTGTAAAAAGTTTTTTTTTTTAATTTTTCTTTCTAAAGTTTACTGTACATTGTAATTCTTTGCTTTTCACATCTGCTTTTAGCAGCACACTTGAGAATAAACAATCCTGTCTTCTACAGAAGGAACACTACATTGCAAGGTGAGAAAGAGTGAACTGCATGATTTGGATATGGTACTGTATCTTGTGTGTATCACATTCTACATTCCAGTGTGGGACTGACCTCTAACTTGCTCCTTCTACATTCTGCACGGGGATGCATCTCTACATTCTAATCTGCGTGTCATAGACAATCACGTGGCCAATGAACTTGTATGTCTCAGCATGTCTCCTGATTGGCCAAAGGCAAAATGTTCTACTGAAAATGTTTCCCAAAGTAGAACCCTCGTCTAGTCCTGTATTGAGGTATCCATTGTTTCTGGGAATGCACACACTTCCAGAACACATAAGGACGCACTGTGAATTGAAAATTGTTCTCATATATTCTGACCTTCGGATCTTTGGACAGATCTCTGACTTACCCCATGATAATGCATGATAATGTGTTAGAGATTGTGATACTTTTGTGTTCAGCCTCCTCTAATATTCCACGGTACCTGTAATCAAGCTGACTTCCAGAAGTGTCTGTAAGCTTTCTGAGGCTTTGTAAAACTATTAGATGACTAAAAACATTGGATGATTTTCAACATAAAATAAAACCGAAAATATTTAATTACACTTTATCCAGGGGCCAAACAAATGTTCAATCACACTTTGTCAGCAATTTGAAAGCATTCAAAAGTAGTCGTGTGCATTTACTGTATATATATTCTCACTCAGGAAATCTCTGTATATAACCATATTGTTCTTAAAAGATTCAAAACATTTTGAAGAGATACAGCATTACTGTAGATGGAGAGTACGGATATATACAAATATGGACATATATTCTATACTATATTGTATATGGACAACCATATACAGTAAATGGCTACATATTTTAATTAGGTTTATTAAATGCTATGAAAAATTACTGCATTATGAAAGTAATTCCTAGGAAATAGCTACTCAGAATGCAAACTGAGCTGAAGAACAGATAATTCTTGTAGGTAGTGCCTATTCACTTTATATGCTAATTCTGCATTTATATCCATTTCAATATAAATCTGAGTTCAAAAAGATTGAAAGGATAAATCTCAAATGCTTATTAAACTACTACTCATACTCAAACCTATCAGGACCATCTTCTGCTGATAAATAGCTTGGATCTTTTTATAAAGGATAATTAATTTAAAAAGTATACAGTCACCTCAAACGTGTTTGAACGCAAGTAATTTAACTGTGACACGTTTACAGCAGTAGACATCATTATCCTAAATAATTAAAAGGCAGCATTCAAGGCTGGCAGAATGTGGGCACTGAAGTTTTAACAGAATGTTGTTTTTTTACCAGGAGAGACAAATTAATGCTCACGCTTTATGCTTTACTGTATATAAACTTATCAAATATATATGATAATAAATTAATTCAAGTGATATAGCATGAATATTGTGTATAGACAGAAGATTATTCAAACAATAATGCAAATACATTCTGTAGCAAATACTGTACATTACATAGTCTGTTACATAATTAAGTATTTATTTTTAAACGTCAAGCTGTAACTATTGTTTCCTTGAGATCTTATGTGTCTTTCAACACTGATGTTTTTATTTTTATTTATGGCTTACATCTTTGTTAACATTTTTTAGCTGGTGGTAAATTCTCAATTTCTCAATTATTTAAGATAGTGATATATACATAATAATTTCAGAGTATTCACAAAAATCCCAATAGCTTTTCAGTTTTTACGAGGACTGATAGTGGACATTTCAGGCTTCATTATTAATAAAGTATTATCTTATTAATGTAGGTTTCTTTCAGTTACAATTGGAAAAAGCTTAAGAAATTCTGTTTCTCATGATCATATTACCCATAGCTGATACTACAAACACCCATATTGCCAACTGAATATGTTCCTATTCTGTTAAACTGTTCCTAAGTTGTAATCAGCAGTGATCATGTGTTTTCCTGAGGTAAACAAGCTAATTTTCTCAAAGAAGAATTCACCCCCACCCCCACTCAACCAGCACCAGCCAGTTGTTTCCCAGATGCCTTTGCTGCTTTCTTAACATTCTTTATCAAAGCTAATGAGGTCAGCCTTTGCCTTTTTTAGAACGAGCAATGTATGGACTTCAGTTCATCAGAGACAGTCAGGCCAAAGCGACCTCATTTGCCACACGCTGTCTGAAAAATTGGCGTTTTACTCCAATTTATGAGGGGCGTGCTGTGCTATTTCCCTATCTCTTCTATGATCCTATTCTTCTCTGGTAAATTGCCTGGTTAATCGGCAATGACAGATCAGGGCTGTAAATAGAACTGGAGACTCCATGTCCTTGTGCTCAGAGCGCAGCAAAGTCACATTTTACATCGCTGGGCTTGTCATCCACAGGTCTCCCTCCCTTCCAGGAAAAATCCAGTAAACTTTTCAACTTCGCTTTAATTCCATATGTATGGTCTCACATTTGTGAGCTCAGAACCATAAGGATTTATGAATACAGCATTTATTGTCTACAAAACACAGGTGATGTGTGTATGCAACATTTTCTTCTATTTATTTCTAATTAATACACTGTAATATGATTATCTTCTGTCCACGCAACTAAAATATCATTACTATAAAAGCTTATACAGCCTTGCTTTATGCAAAAGAAAAGGTCTTAAAATTTAAGTATTTTTATTAAACTTTTTTTAAAGGTGGCAAATGCAGAGAAACGTACTGTATCTATACAAGGAATAAGATAGCCAATTTTACATTTATTAAAAGAGTTCAAAATTTTACTGATATATTTTCAATGGGCTATGTACTTGTAAATGCATACACACAGAAGCTTAAATGCATAAAACAGAAAGCATTCTTTTTATTGAAACCATTTATCCCCAAAAACTGCAGAATCCATCTATTATCAGAAACCTAGCTGCTCTTTGTTGGTAAACGTCTTGACAATCCAGAGACTATCCTAGAAAGGATGTTTGCCAAATGTATCTACGGAAACAATTCAGAGTTTTCAATTAAACTAGTCAGCAAGTCTTTGGAAAGTGGGAGAAAACTAGAAACCTGTGTGTACATGTGGAGAACACGCAAACACCACACAGAAGACACCAAGTATTTAATTGTATTGTTGCACATACTGTAGGAACTACAGTACCTGTTTCATGATGGTGGCTGCACCGTTATCAGTTATTTAAACTGTATCATGAATACACCTCTCATATATCTACAGTATAACATACACTGATGACCCAACTTCTGTATTTGTCTTTCTAAATTTGGATTTCTTAAAGCTGTTAACTTGTTTTTCTCATTTTATGCATGTATGTTTCTTATTAGTTAAGGGTCTCATGTTGTGTTAAATGTATTATGAATTGTTTTACAAGATTTACCAGCGTACAAAGCAAATTTCCTCTCTGGGACAATAGATGAAGTATTTGTGCCATTTGATCTCATCACCTTCACTATTAACTGATGGACTCAAAACTTCTAAATTTTCTGTCTCTCAATCAAAACTCTTTTTGATAAGGAATTTTACTAGATTTATTCTCTTTAAAACTCAAGCGTAAAATAACAAACTGCAACTGTATGTCCAGCGACTGTTCGTATTTTTACATCACTTTTTGGCCACATCACCCTGCAACTCACAACTGGCAGCCCACTGAAGCTAAGCAGGTGTGAGCCTGGTCAGTACCTGGATGGGAGACCTCCTGGGAAAAACTAAGGTTGCTGCTGGAAGAGGTGTTAGTGGGGCCAGTAGGGGGTGCTCACCCTGTGGTCTGTGTGGGTCCCAATGCCCCAGTATAGTGAGTGTTCTGGCGCACTATGGCTGCCATCACTTCATCCAGGTGGATGCTGCACATTGGTGGTGGTGGAGGGGAGTCCCCATTACCCGTAAAGCGCTTTGTGTGGAGTGTCCAGAAAAGCGCTATATAAGTGTAAGCAATTAATATTACTGCCGATTTCTTACCTCGACTCAGTTTTATTCATTATGTTAATTTCCCAACACATAACTATACACAGCCATACTGTACATTAGTCTTGGTCAGTATTCAGTGGATATACTGTATCCAACCTACAGCATAAGCATCTTAACTGGGTATTTCTGACTAAGTTCAGTTCTACATCTCCTGGCAAGAGCAAATAAACAAATCTTCTGCTGACTGAGTGTAATTAATTCAAATGGTCTGAAGGACAAAACTGCAAAACCCACCTAGTTCAGCTCAGTCTGTTGCTTGAGGCATGTATTGCTTTTCATAATACAACACTATCACAAATAATTAGTCGAGCTTTGTGGTGGACAGATAAGTTGACTCTTATGAAGGTAGCAGTACGACATCTGGAGTTTTCCTAGAGGTAGATGGGGCTGACTGTTCATTTACAGGTACAAGAACAACCTGTTCTGTCCTACAGGGATGCTCTGAGGGCTGTTTGACTGCTGCTCTAGTCTCACTTATAAGGGTCACAGTAATCCTGCAGTCCTTTGCTCCACCATCAAGAAAAGCTCAATCCAGTTAAGAAGTTTGCTTTTCCTCCCTCAGTTGAACAGTATATTCATTCATACTTTAATGTAACTCTTTCACAACAAAATATGTAATATTGATAACCATTTGTTTACCATGACTCCTGCCTTCATGACAACTACTGCCACTCCTGCTCTCACCAAGTCTGAGTTTCACACCTTTTATTGCTGGAGGTGCTACAGTATAGACCCTACTTAATAAGTAGGGACAGTAGTTTTAGTGCTTAAAAACTACCGTCATATTTTCAATCTGCATTTCTTGCAGATAGCGGAGAGTTTTTTGTAGCATTATTGCAATGTTATTTTTAATTTAATAAGCTTTCCAGTAGGAGTTTAGGCAAACCATACTGAAAGAGCCTTGTTAAGGTAGTTAAAATCTTGCTGATGGTTTCTGACTCCTGGGTCTTGTAATTGTCTTCTCCTTCTGGACTTACAGTAAGTGCAGGTTTTAATGATGTCAATCACGGCATGCTACTGCATCACATGCATAATCATCTAGTGGTCTCAGGTGCTTGGCTTGGCTCCCATTTGGTAACAAGCAGGCAATTTGGAATTCCTGACTTTTTTATATCTGATGTTGTCACAGTTACTGAGGATGTATGACACGACACTTTGTTTGGACTGTTTTGTACATTCACCATCAGATTATTCACCATCATGGTGTTGAGATTCACTGTTATGCTGGTTTACTAACTCACATTCACTTCGGTGAATTACAGTTGGTTGTCTTATATTAAGATATGGATGCAACAGAGATTCATCTTAACCTAAACTGTGATAAGACTGAGTTTGTTTTTACTGGCTCCCAATTCCATATGCAAAGTTGGTTATTTCAGTGTTGATGTTATTGAAATCATTGAAAATTACCACTTGACTTTATGATAGAGATGTCACAATGAAACATTTTTTCAATATTTGGGTTGTGACCCTCACTCTATCTGATGCTAAACAAATTATACTTGTCTAAATGTCATAAAGATTTGACTACTTTATGGCCTTACTTAGTGGATAATCTATTCAACTACTGAGCAAGGTTTACTATATCCAGAATTGTTAGCTAACTAAACTACACAAAATACTACAGAATGCCTGTCCTGGCTAAACTGTATTGGCTCCTGGTTAACAGAAAATGTAAAGGATTTCTTGCTTAATAAAGCACTGACTGGTCTCACTTCGGGTTACCTTAAGAACCTACTGCATAAGCACAGTCTAACACAAGGTATGATCCACAGATCCAGGTCTTCTTAGTCTATATAAAACCAGGCTCTGCACAATGGGCAACAGAGCCTATTTTGCAGTGCCATGAATTGCCCAAATTCTTTACAGATGCAGCAATAACTGACATTTTTAAAATACACTTTTTTTACAACAGCTTTTAATGAATCATTTTGTTTACTCTTAGCCTCACTTAGTCTACTTACTGTGATTTTTTACATTCATGTTTTAAAAAGTATTTATGAATAAAATGTTTCCAAAACGCTAATCCAGACACATTGCCTCTTCACATATTCTGCTGGAGAGAGTTTTGTTAGCCTGGTTTTGAGGGCATGAAAGCGCTGCTTGATTTCTTTTCATCTGTCACAAAAGAAAACAGCACTTGAATGGGAGGTGCCATCATATGGAATGAAAGTAAAAAGAAAGGAAACCTGTGCTTGTGGGCGAGTTGATTTCTTGTCGGATGCTTCTTCCAGACTGGCTCCCTGACCTGGCGGTCTCTCTCTGTGGCTCCAGGATGTCGCGGTACTTTGACACCATTAAGACAGAAATAAAGTACACCACAGCCAGCGCAAGAAACTGGGCCTGTTTACTGTCGTCCTGTGAACAGAGACACACAGTCACCACAACACTCAGACATTTCAAACAAATCTGAGACTGCAAGAGCGGTTTAAAAAATAATAATTTATAAAATTGCCTAGCAAGGACAACGGTTTAAAATTTTGGCCACAGAGCATAGAAATCGGAGAACTTGTTTCAGCAGCCAGCACTTCAGATACAAAACACAAGATAATTTCTGGATTCATTTCACAAAGAAACTTTAAGGCACTGATATACTGTACATACTGCTTTGTATGTTAACAAAATAAATATGAATTTGAAATGAATCTAAGATCCCAGTTAAGGCAGGAATTTAATAACCTTTTAACTTTATTATATTTCAGAAATATGGCAATTAGCCCAATATCTTATGTACTGTACATGTCACATTTTATATACCACAAAAGCATACTTTAGAACCTTTATAGAACCTACTACATTAGACTGTTTAAAATTTATTAAATCATAATGCTAAATATTAACATATCAGTGACATTCTGATACCTTTGATGAAGTGAAGGGGGGTATCTACTTAACTTAAATGTTTCAAGAAATCATTTAAAGATGCCAGAAGAAAACTGTCACATTTCGTGAGAAGTAATTAATGCCGCCCAACTCAGACTTGACGCAAGGCAGCAGTTTTGTCAACAATTAATGACAATTCTTCTTCTCTAAAGTGCACACTGCTCAATGTTGGTCAGAGTGTGAGGCAATGTGAGACCATGAATAGTTAACTTCACAATGCTAATAAAAAACAGAAAAACTGGCAATGTGTTGAAAATTAGATTTTTGACTACAGATACTACAGACGTACGGCCATACTGTATCTTTCCAATCGGAAAAGTTCATTAAGATTTTAAAAAACAGAACGGGCCAGAAGAACCATGGTGCATGCAGACTCACCACATCCCGGAATACTACTGCCCGAAGACGATTAATGTCCACATCCTGCAACAGTCTGTCAGGGTCCTTGATAGGAGAAAGGTTACTGGGAATATTCTCTATGGTAGTCTGAAGCAAAAAATATACAGCACATCTTTCAAACCCCCTTTAACACGGTTCTGCAATTCTATTTAATAATTCAATTACTACATGAGCTGCAGAAACATACTGTAACACACACATACTCATTTTCATGGCAACTAGTATTCCAGACACCCATAGTCTCCGTTTTCATGCAAACTAAGAATCTCTATCATTATTGGCATAAATATGAGTATTATTAGTGTTTTAGGAATGGTGGAGTAGTTTGGAAAACACTTCCCTAAACATGGATTATAAAAAGGCTATACTGATCCATAATAGTGAGCCTGAATTTTAAAAATATAATATTTAACAGGCTTTTAATCGTGACAATGTTTTGGGAGGCAAGTGATCTAACAAATCAGTAGAACCAATAAACTGAATTAAACAATTCAATTGTTTAGTGAAATGGAACACAATATACCTGAAGAGAGTATAGGAACCTACAGTTTGTAAAGAAAACATTTCATAGATAATATACTGCAGGAAAAATTCAGTAACTTCAAGTTTCTGGGGGCTAATTCTGAAAGAAATATTTTTTATGTCAAAGTGTGAAAAGGGATTACTTCAAAAAGGAATTCGAAGCTGCTCAGTGAAATTACCTTGCTGGCCGGGGTCCCACTCTGCAGGGTCTCCTGTGTCTTACTGTTGGGCATGGATGGTTTGGTGGTCCTGTCACGTTGCCTCTGTCTGCACTCAAGGCAGTTCCGTACAGCAACGCAGCACACTGGAAAAAGAAGGTTTGTTCAGGGGAAGCGCAGAGTGCACTCTGTGAGGAATTCTGGGAGTTAACAGAGTGATCCCAAGATCCCGTCCTTCACAGAACAGCCAGGGTTCATTTGAAGCAGCAGGCAGGCGGCCTCCTAAAACCCTTATTAGTTCATACAGAGACCCAGCTACAACAGTGTATTAGGAAAGAAAGTTGTGTTTATAGCCGTTCTCAGTATTTGAAACAGTTAAACAGTTAAAATGTGCTTCACCTGTCGTGTGAGACACTTTTTTTAGTAATAATGGGGCACATTATTTTCCCCTGCAGCTCCTTAATTTCCACTGCCAATTAACTAGAAAGGATGTTTAACAGAGGATTTTCCAAATTATATACAGTACATATTGAACGCTGTTTTCTTACAGGTTCTGCTGTTTCATTTTCAATATGGAGGGAAAAAACTTGGAATGTTAAAAAAATAAAGCAACGTATTAAAATATGAAAAGCTGGAAACCAAACTTATCAGGCTTTTGGATTTCAAGCAATATGCAGTGCTGTTTCATGTCACCTAAAAAGGGCCCAATGTCTGGAGATGAATAAACAATGGGTTTAGCATTCCTATGGCTCAAATCTTGCAAGGAAAATTGGAAGGCATTTCTAAAAATACTTAAAAAACAGAATTGTGATAGGAAAAAATAATTTTGCACAGGCATATTAAAAGTAGTGATATGTTAATAACTACTACTAGGTAATGGAATATACAGTACTACTACACTTTTAAAAGTTAAAAAAAAAGTTTACCAACAAGTGGAGAGTATTTGACCCATCAAGATAGTAGATATCCAATCTGAGGATCTCTTCCAAACATTTCTTTCATCAGTTTTATGCACCCCCTCCCCCTTCACTGTTTTTACTTATGCCCTCTGGCTCATGTTTCACTAGTGATTCTGAAGCAGTCCACTGGGCTGATTTTCTCCATGTCATTGAGGATTATGAAAATTTATCATGTACTTCCATAGTCTATAGCCTTCTCTGTTCAAGACCGAATCAGTTAAATTCTTTTAGCATTAATGTGAGAAATGGTGAAAATGATTGTTCTGGTGATGAAAACAGCTTTATAACATTCCTACAGTAAATGCTGACTGTATTCTAGATAAGGTCGTAATAGTGAATTGTGCAATTTCAACACAACTTGATTTAAACTCTACACTTTGAACTGCATAATTTATAACTAAATAAGTGTCACATTCAGTAGTGGTGATTTAACAGCCTTAACTATGAACCACTAAGTGTGACACCTTATAAAGTAATGATACTTAATGGCTGGGGAAGGCCATCTGAAGAATGTTAAAAATGGGCAGAGCTAGATCCCCGCTCCCACCAGCCAGGCAGATCCATCTTACTAAAATCTCACATCGCCACGGAAACACTCACCGAGCCTAAGGCACTGCCGCATGAGGCCTCCCGAGGACATGTTCTTCTCCGCTTCAATCTCGCTGAAGTTGAGGGAGCTGGCGAACACCAGCACATCCACCATGGCCATCAGCCGGCTGAGGAACGTCACGGCCGTCTCCGCGGACATCCCCTGCGTGGCTTCGATGTTCTCCAGCTCCATCTTTGAAGAACATTGAACATAAGACATCAAATACTTTGCTTTACTTAATAACTTCAGAGCCAGACATACATTACTCTCTTCTAAAAGGGGTTTCTACAGGAGTTCTGCTGTCTTGTGCTGTTCTCAAAGAACAAGTATCTTAAATGCCAATCACAATGTGAAAGACATTTCTAAACTGCTAACCAAAAAAAAAGATGCTAGTAGATGCATGTCTTTGAGGTATACTGTCACTGTCATATGCATACCTATTTACTCAGAATCTCAGTGTGTCCCGACAAACACAAATGGCAAAGGTTCTTTCAGAGGAGCCTGAATTAACGACTTACAATCACTCCACTGAATTTGGTATCTTTTTAACATTTTGACCACTGAGTATAGCTGCGGTTGCTCTTCAATCGCAAATTTTAACAGTCAGACAAATTCTCAGAAAAATACACTGAAGTCAAAAACAAAGTTCTGCTTTATCCTTTCCTGCATTGCAAGAAGTCATGCATACAGTAACTAGGTGTGCGTGAATGGTGCAATGATGGAAACTGCCGTTTCTGGTTGATATCGAGTGTGGGAACAACACAAACAGCCAAAACACGGTGTGCTTCCCCCCTGCCTCCCAGAGCTCCACCACTGAAGTCAAGAAGAATGTCATCAGTGTCATCGGGGGTGGGAGGAAGAGCAGTTCGTCTCCATGCCTGAATAAGTGTTGCCATGCCAATTATGAAGAGTCGATAAAGGCAACACCTGTCAGCTGAGGAGCAGGTCCTGGAGTATTCAGGTCTCACAGCCCCCACCCCCTCTGACTTCAAGCTTGAAATTGAGATGGGTTACTTATTGACAGTGTTGCTGAAGAACTGAAATGAATTTTACCATGGCTTTAAAAACATCACAAAACACCCTGTGACATTCAAGGATTTTATAGCCACTGCCTGCCTTGTGCTTCACTGGACTGCACATAATTTATCAACACAAAGTTGGCAGCTTTATGTTTTTGTTTTTATTTGGCGTTTTCATCCAAAATCATTTATATTCCAGGTGTTGCCTACTGAAGGATCCACACTAAGAGCAATCCAAAGGAGATGAAACTCCCCCACAATTATGCTTTAACTTGAATTTGGCTGACGTCTGAGCTTATAAATCATAGCATCTGTAGAGATGCTGTACTATACATATTACAAGGGGAGCAGCTCTTTTGGAATCTTAACTCATCTAGTTTTCTAAATGTGAGATGTGTCTGTAACTAGTTTGTTCTTTATCTGCATGGTTCATCAGTGAATACTCATTTTAAGTGTAAACTGAATGTATCATATTATACCATCACCAACCATACACAATGTTTCACTACAATATCTCATGTTCCTGACAGGACATACTGGATGTACAATTTGGGGTTATTTTTGTGTCTCTCACGATTTTCTGTTTTTTATAATTTTTTGTAAGGCCACTTAGCATTACAAGCAGCCATGCTGTAAGAGTTAAGATTTTGAAGCACACAAAGCAGCAACAAATAATGAAATATGAAAAAAAAAATGGATTGAAAAGAAAACAAAAACAGCGGCTCAATATTTTGTAATAATGTTTTTGGGCAGTGAAACACAGGCACATAGCTTAAGTTATCTTGTTTTGTTATTTAAAAATAATTTGTCTGGTGTTAGATTAAAAGAAAGGCCAATACTGCAGTAAAGCAAGAAGCTTTTAAAGTCTGGCATTACTTCATGAACGAAATTAAATTTACAGTTTAGTCAGCAACACAGTGAGGGAGCAGGTTGTTTTAATTTTACTTGGTGTGTTTTTGGTGTAGGAAGGGCGAGGGGGGATAGTTACATCTGGGGTAACACAAGCAGACTAAATACAGAATAGGCAGGAGTTAATCCCACTTGGACTCGACAGCTACCCACCTCACCAACAGAGCCTACACTGTTAGACAATGGGGCAACCTCATCACTCTTTGCCACTACTCGAGCTAAAGCCTCCCTTGGGAAGAGATGTGAGCAACCACTTGCTTCAGTCTTACATGTTAACAAAGAAGGAAACAGCCTTGAAAATCATCATTTAAAAAAAAACAGAACAAGAAAATTTTCACAGTGCTGGTTCTTGCTCTCTATTCTTTTAATGTAAGCGAAGGCATGGGGGTAAAATGAGATTCTGCTGTACAAAATCGGTCATTTCCTAAATGCGATGAAACACTTTAATAGAGCTGGCACTTTTGTCCAAATTAACTATAAAGACTAGAGAGCGGGCTACTCAAGGAACTGTTTTACAGTGCATGGTCGTCAGAGGGACAGAGTAGAAGAAGGCTAAGGGTGTGAGGTTAAGTACACTGTGATATGTACGAAATGCCAGAGCTTAAACCAGGAATTTTCTAGCAACAATCCCTTTACTATGAGTACAGTTTTGGATTCTAAAGTGTCCCAGAAAGATTTTTGTAAGATTTTGATGTTGCTGTTAATATTTTCAAATTGCCCATTCGGCAATATTAAGAAGCAGTTAAATCAATTGAATTATTCCTTTGCTAATAGATTTAAATCTAATATATATGATAGTAAACATAAAGTAATGTAATGTTTATAATAATGCCCTCCCCTGTTTTATTTTGTGTGAGGGGAGCTATTAAAGAAGTGCTGCATTCATAATATCTTATATATCATAATATCTACATTCATAATATAGTCATGAAAGTGTTAATACAAGAAGAAGAAAACTTGATTAAGCATGTTACAGAAAGACATGAAATACATCTGGATTATGTAATTAACAGAATGATCTAACAGTAAATATCCTTGTGTGAATAAGTATGTGAACCCTTAGAGTGATAACTCCTTCTGCATCAATGACTTTAATTAGACATTTCCTATAACTGTTTCAGTGTCACATTGGCTTTTAGGAATCGTGGCCCATTCTTTCTTATCTATCCTCTTCATGTCAGTGCCATTTGAGGGTTTCCTTGCATAAGCAGCTTGCTTCAAATGCTGCCATAACATTTTAATGGGGTTTAAGTCCAGAAATGACCTACTTTCAGCTCAGTTTCTGCTGAAAAATGGATAGCCTGACATTTTCCTCCAGAATTTGCTGATAAAATGCCATGGTTTATGGTTCCATCAACGATGGCAAGCTTTCTAAGTCCCGTGGAAATAAAGCAGCTCCAAACCATGATACTCCCACCACTATGCTTGAGGGTCAGAATCAGATTATACTTTCTGAAAACTGTTGAGGTTTGGATGTCTCCACACAAACCACTTCTCATTGTGGCCAAAAATGCTTCAAGTAGTCTTATGAATTATCCAGGTTCTTTCTGGCGAATTCGAGGCTGGTGGTGATGTTTTTGTTTAGAGAGCAATGATATCGATGGATACTACTAGACTAGAGTCTCTGTGGTTTTGGAATATTTTCCATTTGTAGACTGAGACTGTAGACGTTTTGTCCCCAAATGTTTTGTAACCCTCGTCTGACTGATAAGCATTAAGTAGTCTTTTCAGAGAAGACCTCTGTTACTTCTCTTGTCAGGGCATGACATGTTTCCACTAACCTATATGGTAAAGACCAAATGTTATAGGATAGGACTGCCTGAACTCAGTCCTTGTTTACATTTTACCCAGTTAAATCTAATAACCTGCTTTTCTGTGCTAGAGATTTACTTATTATTTCAGATACACTCCCCAAATATTATTTTCTATTTCACAGAACACTCCAACTCAAAAAATTAAATTAGTAAATATAAACTCAGGTTCAAACATGGGTAATATGGTAAGAAACTGGAATTCCCATAATTATACTGGGGGCTGACAAACTTTCTCTCAGACCATATACTAATTTAATTAATACATGAATACATGTATTTTATTCTCTTTTATTCTGAAGAAAATGATACTCCCAGGTGAAAGAACTCAACACACAAGCCATAATGTGTGGATGCTATACACCTTGTTCACTAATCTTACTTAAATATAAGGCAGAATATTAACTAATATCAATACATGAATATCTAGATAAGGGACTGAAATATTAAGCAGGTCTATGTTTCTATAACACGTTTCAGGCTGTACAAAGAAAAGAGTTCTTTATGTAGATCACACTTTAACATCACTACAGTACATCTATTTTACAAAAGCCATGAGTAACTTTTCTTTAATTGAGCAACCTAAATACCACTGTTCAAGGATATGCATTAACACTGCAACCACTCATTTTCTGAGAAAGTCCCATTTGAAATGAGGGAAAAAAAATCTGTTATCAATCAGAACCTTCTTTCTGAACATGCAACTAAAAGAACTAGTGCATTATAAAAGAGAAACTGAAACTTACAGCAGTCATACTAACCTTAGAGCTCTGGACATGCAACAGACAAAACGGACAACAGAATACAACAACACAAGAAAAAAAATGAAAAAAGATTAAAATCAAAAGAAACTGCAGTCTTTCATGATATTTAACTACATATTTGTTCACTATGGACTTGGATATTCATTTTTTTCTTAATCTGGCATTAGAAATGAGCAATAAAATAATAATCAAGCTATGATTAAAAAAAAAAGCTTTTGCAAAATTATTCAACATGTTATCAAAGCATCAGTTAATCAAGCCAAGCATAAATAAATATTCATTTGTCTTAGAGGCAGTGATGAACCACATTTCAATTCCACTGTTCAATAATACATGCATTCCATTCCACAATGCTCCCACTAACATGCAACCTTTCAGTTCTCCCACTAGGTGGCACTAAGTCCTTGCAGATGGAAGATTGCCCACTTACAGAAGGAGATGTAGCTGCAGAAAGTAATGGCAATATTCCTCCACAGGCGATAATTATGTTGTCTACCATCTGGGAAATGAGGTGAATCGTATTATGTACAAAAATGATGTTCTCGTTACTATTCACAAAGTCCATGACTGATTTGGTTGAATGGCTGAAAAAAAAAAGAAGGAAAAATATTTGTCAACACTGTAAAAAGGAGCCACCGGACACAGTATCAAAATTAGAGATAATGTTTAACACCAAGCCAAGTGAAAAGCACTTCGTAAAGAGGTTTTCGCTCAGATGCGAGAAAAGTATCTTGAGGGGGAAAAGTTTGTGGCACCTGTACATCACACAAACAAGTCACATTCCTTTGATTCAATTTAAGATGCATAGTAAGCCAGAAAAGTATGTTTGTGAATACTGTACAGTATGTCACGTGGACCCTAACCCTAACCCTAATTTTTTTAAAATAAAACATTCAGATATTTTGATACTTATAATAGTCCATATAAAATTTTATCATGATTCAACAACCAACAGACCTAGAGAAGAATAATGTTAAAAATATTTCTCAATATATCTAAAAAAGTAATAACATATTTTAAATGTTTATACAGCATCCATACATCCATATGGTAAATAATTCACCGAGAAAGGAAACATTAATACACAGCCTTATAACAGAACAATAGGACCCAGGTTCAACAGCATGTTTTTTTTTTTACCTGCATAACCTCTTTTCCCTATCCCACTTGTCAAGAGATGGTAACTCCAGGCTGCCCATAGTAAGGGCTGTCACTGTTGCTCACTTACTGGTGATTATATGTATGCTGCCTTCTTTTTCATTATCCAATTTTATTAATTCCTAATTTCATTTGAGAAACAACGTAACATTTTTCCACAACTCCCCAAAATCACCCTCATGTATCCCTGGTCGCCATCATCGGTTCCCCACTTTTATCAACTATCAAGACTAAAGTCGGGTATCTACTGTTGAAGCCCAAGCTTTGATGGCACCACCAGCTACACCCCAAGTTCTGGTCATCCATCCTGCTACCCCCCCACCATGCACCCCGGATTACCTTAAAGATGCTACAGTGTCAAAACAGAACAATTCATTCTGTCTTCAAATAGCTGGATGGTGTAATTTTCTTCTACCCTCATGTACTACAATTGGCTGTAATTCCTCTGGTGTCAATCTTTTGTTCTGCTGACTACCTTTCACTTTGGAAAAACTGATACGACTACATGTGCTCGGGTGATTAAAATCAAAAGAAATGGTATTGAACCAGATATTTGTTTACGTAGGACTTTGACCTTTTTATTCTTAATCTGGCACTAGAAAGAATAAATAATCAAGCTAGGAATAAAAAAAAGCTCTAGCAAAATTATTCAACGTTATCAAAGCATCACTTAATCAAACCAAGCATACACTGTACATAGATATTCATTAGACTTAAAGGCAGTGATAAACCACATTTTAATTCCTCTGTTCAATAATGCATGCAATAAATACTCATTCACACAGAAGAAAGTGAAAGTAAACCCATGTTACTGATTTCTTTGGCCGGGTGTAAAAAAGGAATGTGTTGCTGTAACCCAGTCCTTCTCATTGTAGAGAGAATGACTGCAAGAACCTTCGAATGAATAGAATGCCATGAACAAACATTGCAAGAAACCAATATCTTCAGAAGGGTAAAGCATAAAAACTGGTCACTATGAGATATGGAACATATTGAGTTTCATTTAGTTAAAAGAAAAGTGTGGAAGTTTGAGCTTCGAAGATAAAAGCCAGCCACCACTTTAATTGAAGCTCCTTTAATAACCACATGCTGTACCATATGTGGGTTTCTGGGTTACCTTCTCCAAACGTGTACGTCTGTCTCCAGAGCGAAGAGCAGATCAGTGAGCAGCCTCTGGTGCATGGGTGACCACTTGAACTCTGGAATCCGGAACATGGTGGTCCGCGGGCCGGGGCTGAACTGGCGCCTCTGCTCCTCTGTCATGGGCATCCCTCGGAAGCCAAGGTCTACCCGCAGGTCTCGGTCCATCTGACTGCCCGCTCGCCCATGGAGAGCCTGTGGCACAGAGCAGCCCACTCACCGCCTGTCCTTTCACACCTACACACTGCTACCAGTGCCAGCACAACGCACACAAGGCTCCCAGGAAGCCTTGTGTGTGTCATAATCCACTTGCCCTTACACTAGAAATACTTGTTATCTATAGAATTATGATTAGTCTCTATAAATGTAATCTTAAATTTACATGAACAGACAAAATGCACAATTACAAAAGCCGCAAGAGCTACAGAAATAACTTAAAAGAAAGCATAGTTGAAGTCAGCAGATGTATTAAAGACTCTTCCTGGGTCAAGTCTGGCTGCCCTTTGAAAATGCAGAACACTACAAAAATGTAATTGCTGGTTTCTAAATTAATAACACAGAAGAACAACTTCCACCCTATCATCATTTTTTCCAGTCGCAGGTTTCAGAGACTTATTAATAGACCATTTTCTATTAAACAGATGACTGTTTCAGGCTCCACATGGAGCCTCCATTAAAATTACAGCTCACTGCCAGAATAATTCAAAGAGCCCAGTATGAAGGCACACTGTTAGTAAGGCTGTATTCAGCAGAGCAAAAACTTGTTTAGTCCTAAATCCAACAGGGGATTTGCATCCACATTGGGGTGAGTTTGTCACATAAGTAGTTCTCCTCGCTTTGTTATGTTAATTAAGATGCTGGTACTTTTTTACTGTAGTATAGAAATATTAGTGCTGTTAGCCTCTACCTAAAAATAGCTATTTTTTTCAGTACATGGCTGAGAGTTCTTTATTCTATTTATTCTACTTTTTACTTTGAGACTTCTACTTTTTAATAAACACATTTAAGGTTATTACATGTGACTATGTAATTCCTCCATTAGTCACTAGAGGCCAGACACAACCTGCCTTCCAAGAACAATGGTATGAAACTCCTTCGAAACAAAAAACAACTTAGACTTGATACTAAATTGGTTGATTGTTACTGTGTTTATGCATTACCAACAATGTCAACTAATTTAGGCAGCTTTTCACAAATAAATCACTGCATTCGCATTATCCATTCTGAGAACAATTTTCCAACATGGTGGACAAACGAACAGAACCTACTGTTCGTTTCTGTTCCACCAATGCCTCCTGAACACCAGAAGTCCTGCCTTACCTGGGTCGTGGCTGTGGTTTGGATCTTTTTGATCTCCTTGTCCTTGCCGTCATCTGATCTCTCCGTGTCAGAGGTGGTGCTGGCAGCGTCCATGCTGCCGCTGGCCTTTATAGCAGAAGGCTCACTCTCTCCTACTGCGCCACCAATGTCCGCGTACTCTGCCCCTTTAGACACAGCCTCAGCCTCAGCAATGGAGCTGATCTCATCCAGCGTGGTCTGTATCTTAAACTCGCTGTCCTCCAGGATGTTGGCGGTGGGAGTCAGGTCAGAGCTCCCTGTCATATGGGCCAGCAGACCCAGATCATCGCTGGCGCTGCTGGTGTGGACCTGTGGCTCCTGGGGACTGGGGAGGACCAATGGCTCTGTGGAGGTCAGCTCAGGCAGCAGCTTCTCCTCCTGGCCACCAGGGGCCTTGCTGAAGAGGAAGCTGTTGTTGGGGATGCTGTCCTTCTCATCAGCCAAGGTGATGAGGGGGCCAGTGTTCTTGTCCTCACTTTCCTTTGGCACCAGCGCCCCGTTGACATTGCTCTTCAGCTTCTCCACCGCGGCACAGTAGACATTGTCCAACAGCGAGTCGACCTCCACCAGAGTCCCATTCTCCCCTCCAGCCAGAGTCTCGGGAGAGAGGTCCATGTCATCAAGCTTCACCTCGGTGGCCTCCACCTTCTCGGCCTTGATGTCCACCAGCAGGTCGTGGACTTCGACCCTCACGCCTCCCACTGGTCTCTCCACAGCCCCCAACCCCTCCTCGGGACCCTTGACCTCAGCCAGCAGATTCCTGGAGTCTGCGGTCTCAGGGTAGTCTGCTTCACTCTCAGGGGTCTGGGTCTGAGAGTTGTCATCCATCTCGCGAATCTCAATGGCTCCTTTGACCGCTGAAGCCTGGGAGGACAGGCCTGAGATGGTGCTGACACTGCCCTTCTTTCCCTTCTTAATGTTCTCCTCCTCCTGCCTCTGGTATTCCTCGTACATTTTAGCCAAGTACTCCTTATGAGCTTCATACGTCACCTACAGGTAACAGAAAACCACCCTCTTTGAATATGTATACAGTATATACACACATATATACAGAACATCACATATTCAGTGAAAATAGATGAGAGACTAATCATAAAAAATAAAGAATAACTTAATTAAATTAATAAATATGTAGCCAGAGATAATGAGTCATTCACATATCGTATCAAGGCAGACCAGATTAGCCTAATGATTTAACGAGTGTGCCTAACAATCAACGTCTTAAATTGTAGTGTATTCTTTTTTAAAAATATCAGGATCTGGTCAAGAAAAATCATCTAGAAGCCAGTACTATTGATTTTAAATGCAGAATGCAATGATTGTGGAAAGGCAGGCATTTGTACTGTGGAGAATCCACAAAGCAGCAGGGGGCAGTGTACCCTCACACTTCAAAGAATTTCTCACCTTTGAATGAGCTATAGACAGTGTGTCAACCCAGACTCTCCAGCCTCCCCACTCATATTTTATTGCATGGTACAGGAGGATGCGGAAAATGTTGTACACCATCTCTGTGATCTTCTGCTCTTCTGCATTCTTGGGGTTGATGTAACCCAAAGAGAACATCCAGTCCTGCCAAACAGAGCACTGGAGCAGACACCTAAGAAGAAAATACAATGAGAAGCATCTTTAATTATTTTTCCCTTATTCAACTGATAATCTTGTCAAGGGTGTGTCTTAAATGCAACAAAGAGGATTTTGCTTGGTACCGCCTGTTGATACCCATTTACTGTAAGAACAATACTGTTAATCTAAATATCGAAATAAGAATAATGACAGAATGTTAAGTTCATATGTTTTAAATATAACACACTCCATTTAAATAATTTTTACCCCAAATACCAATAGAACTGAGTAAATTTTAAATGTAATGCAACTGAAAAAATTACAAATTAATGTACATTTAATTGGCTACTTAATGTGGTAATCCCATGCCTGTGTTTTTGTTAAGTTACGCTCTGGGGTGTCTCATGCAACAAAGTTTCTGCAGTCTAACTGCAAAGCTGAATTAATAATTTATATGTTCTCAATGTATTCTGAGTCAATATAAACATTTGTATAGATTTTGTATAACTCTCGAGGATGAACTAAAGATCTTTCACCACATCTTCATTTTTTTCCAATAAGATTATTTGTTTTTTAATTTACCCAGAAGACACCAATTATTCACATCTATAGTAAACATCCAAGACAACTGAAAAAAACAATGAAGCTTTTTATTTTTCCTTAGCTTTGATGTATTAATCATGCAATTAGCTTTCGCTTTACTGGAAAAAGAGGAAGCCGACAAATACAGATTCACTCACCGTCTGTTCTCTCTACTGTTACTGAACAGCTTTATCATATCAGACAAAAACAGACGGCGAACTTCCATGAGCTCTGCACTCGGCGTCGAATTCTTCAGCAGGGTGGCTACCACCTTTAGAATCACTGGAAATGAGCACAACAGCACAAGAGCCAAGTCAGGTGCAAAATGTACAGTAGGACTGGTAAAACTCTCAGCATCTCTATAACAACAAACCTGTAAATCCTAAAAAGTAAGGCAAGCCCTCCCCAAAGCTGAGTCATTGTGGTCCCTGCAGGTAAGCTAATCTCCATATCTGGGCCTGAGCTCACCCTTGCTTCTGCAGAGTTAAGTGGAATAGAGAATTTTGACTTCCCTGCATGAACAGGATGCCAGTCAATTAACCAAAGCTGTGCTGGTCTGCACTTGCAGTGTGGACTGGAGCCACTGGGGTAAAGTGCCTCACTCAAGGTACAACAGAAGTGAGTAAAGCAGGGACTTGAACCCACAACCCTCCTGTTATGTGATCAGCCCCGCAGAACAGATCGCATTTCAAGCCAGCCTGCAGACTTCACCCCTGATTCCACTGTGTGGTGCAATTAAAAAAAGAAATCTGTCTGTGCTACCACAGAGCTGCTTTGATAAATAGGGAATCCTTCAAATTAATTGGAAATTAGCAGTTTCCTCCAAAATGCCAGATTTCAATTAAAGAGACTGACCATTTTAACAACAGCAGAGTGGGGAAAAATAAGTTTCTTGTTCCTAGGGAGTACATGTTTCCAAGACAAAATACCGAAGGATGAAGATATAGTATTTCATACTGCCAGCCCTGTATTATAAGGCTCTAAACTCCTGAATGATGACCTGGATTTTTATGCAAATTGGAAATTCTGCTGCTGTACCCCCAATAAAGATACCCAAACCTGTAGCAGCAAACTCAACTACAGAAACTGATACTAACATTTAACTTTAACAAAATAAGCAAATGGGACCTTGGATAAAAGAATTACTCAAATATGTAAAAAAAACAAAACACATTATTTAGGTGTACACAGGTTCCCCATGATATCATAGCATTATACACAATATACTGCAGTAAGAAACTAAATCTATGAAGTATCCAGAAAGGAGATGGCCTGATTATCATTCTTAAGGACAAAATACATTGTATTTGCTTATTATTTACAGTTACTGCTGATTCATCTTACAAGCCTCAGATGGAGGTTAATGGGAAACCTGGCTGTGACGCCCAGAACTTTTAGATGATTGCCTTGGTGACCCCTAAGTGTGACGTCAGGCATTCCAAAGACTGGGAAAAAAAACAGGTAAAAGATGCTACATTTGGGATCTGGGAATTAATTAAGTAAAACCCCTGTTTCTCTATTCCTGCAGTTTCTGAACATATGCTTTGCAACTTTCAAAGTACCCCGACTGTCCTCAAAGTCATAGCAGCAGTGTCTGCGTTGCATTCTGAAGACTGCATTGCATTGCAATGTGAAGACTGAGAGGCAGCTGTGTCTGCTCTCAGAATGGCAATCTGTCTTTGTTTAGGCTCCACACTGAGAAAGCACATCTTGAAGGACACTTGTGTGTCTTCAGTTCTCCCAGAGTAATGTGGGACAACAGTGCCAAACTGGGTTGCAGTAAGTTATTTAAAGATAAAGCTACAGTTGCAGGGCTTAATTCACTAAACTCTTCAGGAATATTTTGGCCTAAATACTTACTTGGATTCTGTATTTTTACTGTCGAGTCTGGCTCAGGATGGGGCTTATGTACAACCTGTGTGCACACCTGTTCAGTCAGAATCTAGAAGAATAAAATACAGAATTATATCAGCTTCACTCAGAAAGAGAAGACATCATTGCAGAGTGGTAACACCAGGACTGTCCCTTTTCTGTGTGCTCCAGCATGGATGAGGTGTACCCTTCCCTTACCTCATACAGCGTGTTGTAGGTGGTCACAGTCACAGTGTTGGTGTGAAGCACTAGTCTCTCGCCCAGGAGTGTGAAGAGACTGTGTGTGTGCATTATCTCAACTTTACGTCTGCAAATATTAAAGACAGAAAAACACCAGTACAAATTATTCAGTACATACCTTTTGTGCTTCTAAATGGGATGGGAATAGAACTCCATTAACCAAAAACTGGTCTACATTGTTCTCTGTGCTAGTAAGAGTGAATTCTGTAGAAAACTGTCAAATTCTGTAGACTCTGTGTCAAAGTAGTGCCACTATAAGTACACTGTGCCAGGCAAAATCATGAAGTTGCCTGACTGGGCTATATATTAGCCGTAGAGAGATGCTGGGAGACGTCTGAAATGCCAGCATCTTGCACTGCAAGTAACTCCTGAGTGCACACCAAAGACGCTTTGTTGTCACAACAGTACAGAAAACTGCTATGAATACGTGGCTCTGGAAATGTGACAAACTTAGTTCTTTGTCTTGCGGTGTACTGGGCACTTCTCACATTCTTACAAAATTCAAACAAGTAAAGAAACTCAGAAGGAAGTATCTCAAATCACATATCATATACAGTACTGTAGTTGCCTTCTTCCTTCAAAATGCCATTGCTCTAGTCTATTAGAGCTGCCACACATTATCACTCTTATTATATTTGCAGTCTGTGTGATTCTCTTGTGTCTGTTAAGAATACAGAATGTATAATTTCTCAAAAGCTGATTGAAAGAAATGATTCTGGGAACCAAATTACCATTCCCAAGTAGTGCAATACTGAATGCTGTGCAATACTGAAATACATGCCAACACAATTTTTCTCAGAATCCAGCCTGGGTAGTATTTTTACTATTTTGTTTGAAACTGGAATTGATGGACCACAAACAGTACAGCATCTAAGCTGATGGAGAATCAATAGGGGCCAGGATGCAAAATAATTAAGACATTCAAGTATAGTAAACTGAATCAATATAAGCCAGAGCTGTACCTGGGGTGGAATCCACCCTCAGGAGTTACATTCTCACCATGATACCTGGATATGTGGAATTTCAGAGTCAGATTGTTTGAAGAAATGAGAAACCCCTTGTTTTAAAACACCAGCTCATTAGGTTCTCCCTCCTCTCCTGTTGCTTAAAATACACACCCTGTGGCAGTTATTGGATTCTATATAAACCTACATACTGTATCTTGGCTTAAATTTGTTTCTTTTTCTTTAGATGTATACTAAGCCTATATACAAAATGATGCAGATCACCCCAAAAAAGCAAGCTTCAGATTTCAGGTATCCAGCTAGAAAGCTTTTCTTTGATGTAAATGACAAAAGCATTGGAAATCCCTTCCAGCATCATTTTTCCTGATCAGAGAACTGCTGCTGTGAATGAACAGTCTGTCATAAGAATTATTCCAGTATGTCTACATGGCAAAGATTCCTAATTTTCTTGAGTTATTTTTTTTATTTTGTTCTCCTTCGACATTTTGTTCTGTGGTACAAATGGCAACAGGAAGAAAAATAGAATATCAACCGTGTGAGTTTCCAGAAATATCCTTAACAACTTCTTTCAATCAGATGCAGAGACCTGCATCCTACAGGAAAAAGCTTTCTTTTAAAATGAGGATGGCACACAAAGACTGAGCAAAATCCAAATGACAATCTGAGAATAACAGATAAAAAAACACAGCAAGCCATTTTCCAAGAATCTGAAAACACCCTCTTTGAGATCCTGGAGAAAAGACAACCTCATCTGTCAACACAGCATTCCTCTTCACTTCTGTCATCTAGATACACAAACTCATCTCAACTCTTTCCTTTTATTTTTCTTTGCATTTCTTTCTTTTAAAAAACACGTTTTACCTCAAAGTTCTCATAGTCAAAAACAGATGAGTTATTATCAAGATAATTCATTATTTTTGACAAGCAGAAAGAAGATGAGGCAGGACAATGTGATCCACATAAAATTGAGAAGAATTATAATAGATCCATGCACAAAGAAAAAAAAATTATTTGATTTCTAGCCATAATTACTCCAACTTTTAGATAAAAAGAACTTGAAATACCACAAAAAACATCAACATCACTACAGGGGCACTATAACCTCATCCAAACACTCACTATAAGAAGGCAGAATTAGGTTATCAAAACTATTGAGATTGTTATAATAATTTGGGAACAAACAACAGTAATAGTAACCCAAACTAATATACTCACTTATGACCCAGATGCTTAAGGAAATAGCCCAGCACTTTAAGTGCCTGAACTCGGATGCTTTCACTCTTTGAAGCCAGTAGCTTGTAGATAACCCTGGAAAAAACAGGAGATTTTTTCACACACTGAGTTTCAACATCAAAATCTTGGAACTTGGTTAATTAGAAAAAATAGAAAGCTGGATTGACAAATAATCACACAATACTTAAAAATCAACAAGCATTAATGAAAGTAGCAAAGACGTGTGCTGCTCTTCAAACAAGTCCATGTACAATACGTGGTCTGACAAAGATCCAGAAAGTTCCCACTGACAGTGATTAAGCTCTTTTTTTTTTAAAGATTACCACCTGTACCTCTCAAGGATTTTAATTTTACTTGATATATACAGCATCTGAATAGTCAGTGAAACGGAGACGAGGAATTGAGTTTAAAAAAAAGTTAAAAATAGATGTATGAAATTGCAGAAAGCTACCTAGCGTGCAGCAAACCTTTCAATTTTTTATTCTTCAGGCAAGCACAAGCCATGGCACCATGATTTCAATTTATTTTGCTGTCTTTAACTACCATGTCTTACAAATGGATTTTTGCGGAAAAGCACATTTTTGGCCACTTATCATATCACAGGAGGGCCTTGATTTCAGTTAACCTTCTTTCTGTTAAATGTGGGTCCGCTGAGGTCAGGAACAGAGAGTTCTGTTTAACAAAACTCCATGATCTTGTCCTGATTAGCCTCACTATATCACTGTTTGAAATTTAATAAACAGCTTCATGTTTAGGAGAGCAGTGCTTACAAATCTAAAGTTAACAGATAAATTACGTTTGCTGAGCAAATGTACAGTATCACATAATGGTTCTGAGTGCATTTGACAGAACAACTCCCCAGTATCTTACCGTATTCCATTCCTCTGATCGAAGGCAGGTATCATTGATGCTGGGTGTTCTGACATGAGAGCGACGAGTAGCTGTAGCACATCATGAATGTTCTCATCCTGCATGGAATCAAGAAACAATTCTCATTCTTACAAAGGCCTACCTTTTACTTTGTTCTACCTTTTGACTACTATTAAAAAAAGATTAATAATGTGCATACTACCCACCACATTTTACTTCAGAACTAAGATAGCAGTCCAGTTATAAAGTGAAATGTGAGAAACAGAAACGTCTTCAGCATTTTAATTCATACCACCAACTCTCAGTGATTACACTGCAGTTACAGGTCACATTATATTTTGAAGATCAGGCATGTTCTCCAAAATAAATACACACCTTAGTACAAAAACAGCAGATTTATCCTTACTTACTGTATATGTTAATTAAATAATTATTTACTATGATCACTGTTCATCTGTTTTTTAATGTCATTTTACTTTCATGTCTCTTATTTTTTTCCAGGTTATCTGCTGTCATTTCAGTTTGGGCTGTCATTGACCTGTTGAATGAACCGGATCAAAAATCTCATGGCTAAAGGGCATAGAAAAACTAGTTTATTTTGCTTTATTGATCAATAAAATTCTATTACACCAGCAAAGAAATTATAATTCATTAGATCATTAAGACAACACACTTTAGATAAAACATAACTAAATCAATATGTGCTAATATTATATTGTAGACAAAACATGCTATGATTTAAATTTGATACTAAATTGTATGTGGATTAACCACACAAAACACCAGATAAACAAAACAGATAAATATACTGTAGTATCATATTTTAATTGATAAAGTTGTCTGTCACCATATGGACATTGCCTTAACTAAGCACTTTTGTAGTAAGGGTGACAATTTTTTTTCATTATGTATATTTCAGCTTGTTTTGCAAATGGGTTTCATTTCAAATAAATTGTGACCTTGACAGCAAAGGCCAGGACAATGCCTGGGAGTATCAAAATGACAGAACCCAAAGAAAGATTTATTAACAGTTCTCTAAAAGCCACTGAAAATAAAATCTATACTTTACCAGGGAGCACTGCTAATTGTTTGCAAAGGTATTCAAAACTAATGGAATACAATCCATCACCAGCCCATAAAATGATGGCTTCTAACTCATTCCAGGTTACTGCTAAAGATACAAATATTCTGCTCTTCATCCATTTCATTACTATTACTGCTTTAGGTAACATTGTTAAATAGACAGTATATCATAACACCAGTGTCAAGAGCTATCCCATAGAGGTGTTTTTGACTTACTTCATGCATTGTCAACAGGTAGTTCAATATACTTTGTAGCTCATCTTCTTTCACACCTCGATCCTAATTGAAAGGAACAAAAGTAGTCAACAATGAACAAAATTCAAGCTCTGCAGCCAAGAATATACTAACAAGAAACCATAATGCCAAAAAAACAAACACTGGGTGCACTGTAGAAGGGACAAAATGACAATGTAAAACATTGATGCGGACAAGTTAAGAAGAAAATGCTGGACTACATTTCACTTGATAATATTATTCTGTCATTGACAATACAACAGTTAGTTTAAAGCAGTCTTCCAGCAAGAGTTGATACGGTGTGGCTTTATAATATAAATATTCATTTTTTGCCTGTGTTACTCTTGGAAAGATGCATTTACACAGAGCAAGCATTGAAAAAACAAAAACAAAAACTGCACTCGTTTCAGAGATTTCAGTGTAACAAGATTGCCCGTAAAGTTGTTTCCAAATAGTATGCCCATGCAAGTTTGGAATTCAAGTGTATTTGCATATCTCTAGTTACATACATGTATACACTTCAGTACTGGAGAAAACCTTTGTCAAAGTAACCTGAGAAATGGCCTTTTCCATAAATAAGGCTTATAAGAAAACTCAAGCACATCACAGTACACTTAAAAAAAACTGTAAAGTCTCCAAATAAAAACACATCTTGGAAAATGTCCCATATAATTACAAAAACATTATCACTATTAAATACAACACAGCAGATCAAGTGAGGTGCCATGGGAAAAGGAGAGCAAAAATCAACACAATAGAAATGTAAACCTGGAACCCCCCAAAAAGTGTAAAAAGACCTTTATCACGACTTTAGCACAATAATAACAGAAATACTTCTGGGCTCCAGTAGAGTATAAACAAGGAAAACATAGATCAGAACTTATTTTTACCTTTAGTATGAGCTGTTTTAAGAACAGAAGCATAAAAGCACGGAGAGATATGATTTCTTTCTGAGAGGGGCGGGGACCACCTGTAAAGAGAAGAATGAAATAAAATCTTCAGATGCAAACACAAAACATATGAAAAAGTATACCTGACTGTTTTATGCCTTCAAGTCCCCTGAAGATGTTCTTCGTAATACTAGAAAGAGAAAGCTGCCTCACAGAAATAATATCGCCACCGCTGGCACAATCTAGCTCTTGCTCCTGAGCAAAGTATATTTTAATATGTAAAAGGCAACCAAACCTGAAGATCAGACTTAAAAGTTACACAACTTTGATGAATCTTAAATTAACTGGAATTTTAAAGGGGATGAGTGACACTTTCTTGCAAATGTGTCAGTAAGACCTTTAATGAGGTTATGATCTTACCCCACACCAATACCTTCTTTCTCTCACTCATATGGTCCTCAACACATAACTGAGAGAAGAGAGCCATTCTAGGGTAACAAGCTGATGCTCCAAATTTCCTTTGGTCATGGACAAGACTATGGAAGTTGGGAAGAAATCCACATAAACCAAGGGAAAAACACATGGACAGGACACAAATCTGGAAACAAACCCAGAAGACTGGAGGTCTTCTATTGTGAAGCAAAACTACATAACCTCCACTGACAGGAATATCTGTAATCACTGACAGATGACACTTGAGATCTGTCACAGCAGCAAATGACCCATACAACAGGAAAAAAAAACACAAAAAAGAAAAATTAGGTTCCCTGACATGTTCAACAAGCTTTTTTACCAGTCAGAGAGGAAAGTTCCCGTTTTCTATAAATCAGGGTGTTGAAATCGGGATTACATGCTATGTGGATACAGCAGTGTCTCTTTCATTTTCACTAGACTGTCCAATAAAAATTGTTACACAACTGTATCTGGCACTGAATCTGTTTCCTACTGGCGCTCAGTAGCACTGCAACCTTAAATAATGTCTGTATTTCTCTTCAACACAGCAAGACGTGACAGGTCTAAGACAGACTCCTTCCAAAGTCATTCCGGTTAAGACATGAGGAATGATCACTGTATCTCAAACACAGGGCACTTTTAGATTTTCAGAATAAATAAAAGGAAAAGCAAGCATGTTTCTATATTAATATAAACCATAAAACACTGTATTGACAATTCTGAAGGAGAAAGAACATTATGTCATTGCTTTCCTGTTGTAGCTGCAGAAAAATAATTAAACAGCCAAAAAAAACACCTGTTATCTCATTTTCACATGCTTATTTCTCTAAGCAACACATGAGCAAATGCTGGCAATTCGGAACAAATGTCTACAAACGAAGTGCAATACTCAGGTCTCATGGTTTTAATCAAATATTTTACACACATATACCAAACAATCAAAGAACTAAAAATCAATAGTTTTTGGCTTGAAGTTTAACACACCGTCAAACTGAACACATGACCAAGTTATTGGGTATGACCTCCCTGATAAAAGAAAACCACACAAAATGTGTACAGAAATACAGATCAAAGATTAAGGAGTCTTCAGTATGAAACAAGACACCATTAAAACAAAAACTACAAATACTGTACAAAGCTAGTATCAGATATGAACCCCTTTAACGTTAACACAATCCTGGGGCATTAATGCACAGACCTGATCAGTCTCTACAGCCTCCGACTGCTATGGAATGTTCTGCTGCTCTGCCTGTGCAGCTGCAGCCAGAGAACGAAAGTAAGCTGCAGATTTCCACTATTGGGTGGTCCAACAGATGTTGTATTAGAGACAATACTGACCACAATAAGACCTTGGTAATGTCTTATTACCGAGACATTACCCTCTGTAATGTCTCCTTTTTGTTTTTGTATTGTCTTGCTGGGAAATTAAAACTTTGGAGTAACTTGTACAAACAGAAAAGCTGTTGGCTCAAGGACTTCAATGTATCGCTGAACAGTAAGGTTGTCTCACACTAAATCAAATGATATTCTTGGGTTAAAGAACACCCCTCCCCATATCACCCACTTCTACCTGCCCTCTGGCCAGCATGAATCTTTGGTATTTTGTCTTTCCATGGAACACATATTGACAACAAACCTATTAGCTCACTATGTAAAATGTAAATAACACAGTAGGTGTTTAATGAGCTCTTTATTTAAAACCTAGACTGCTGTATATTCATTGTATATCAGTACATGCTTAAACATTCCCACATGGTAAAACCTCCAGTTATGTTTGACACACTAAAGGACACTAAAGGCAAAACAAAGTCCATGGATGTGTTAAAGCAATACCTTGAATATTCCGGAAAACAGCTTTGTTTGATACACCCTGGATAGGATGCAGGGAACACAACAAACACAGACACACAAAGCCACGCTACAGACAATTTTTCCCAGAAGACAATTAATCTAACAGTATGTCTTAAGACTGTCAGAGAAAACCTGAGGACTGATACAGTACCACATGTGCACACAATGATTCAGGCACCAAAAGGAGAAACAAATTATCCATTACTATTGTTTACATACTCTTCAGCCAGAAACAGAGGAGAACAATGTATTTCTGTAACAACACTGTTATGTGGATGAGAATTATTAATATTAATATTGTCTGAGAAGATTAATGTAGCAAGAAATCTCTTTCTGCTCTAGAGCCAATTTTCTGGAAAAACAGGTCCAGGAAACAAAAGTAGCATGTTCGTTTTTTGACAATTGTTTTTGGGCATCTTCTCAAAAATACAATATGACTTCTATTAATTTGTTAAACAGTGCCAGCAACACATTTCTTTCTGGACTGTGAGAGTAATAAAAAAACATCTACTGTAAATAAGCCATTCCTTCTCTAATAGCTTAAGGAAACCAATTCAGATAACTTCACAGATTTAGTCCATCAGTTTTCTACACATCAAGAAATTTAATTTCACTCTTTAAAATGACACATCACTCTTTAAAGTGGCTGTGCTTCAAAAAAAATAATTTAACCTGTTCAACAGAGCACCACAATAGATCTTTTGAATTTGGTAATCAGTGTCTATCCTGATGGCGATAGTGCTGTTGTTTCTTGCATTCTCTTTCAGGATTGAAACCTGCTGTTAGCACATAACATTAGCTGTGCATAACATGTGTAACAAAACAACAACCACACTACCTGAATATGGAACTGAGGTTTTCAAAAGGTTTGGGTTAATGTTCTGCTTGATGGATTTGATGTGTTAATATCACTAATAATCAGAATACTGGAATACAAGTAACACCTGCTCTAAGCATGTAGTAAATGCATTTCTTGATTTTAAAGCACAGTAGAGAATTATCTGAACAGGGTGCCTCACATCAAGCACTTTAGTTGCATTTCAATGGGTAGATACTAATGTACTTCTCCATTACTACAGGACAAAAAAGTTCTCAGGTAAATTGCTTCAGTGGAATATGGTTGGAAAGCATACCAGTGTACCACTTTACTATTGACAGAAGCAGATTACAACACAGGACATGACAAGAAGGTACAAACCCTTAATGAGTGATGGCACGTTCAATGTTCAATGTACAGTTAGATTGTTCATTTTTTGTAAGAAGATAAAAAAACTGATAACTAAATATAAGAGAAAAATACACATAAAAGTGCTAGCCTGCTTTCATGTATGTTTAAAGATTATAATGCTGAAAACCCTCTTTGGAGAGTTATGAGTGCTACCACTGGCCAGGCAGTGCTGGTCTCTTCTCCCAAAGGCCTAGTGTTACCACTATCTCAAGACAGATGGGCTGAAGGCAGTGTGATGGAGTCGTGCTATAGATCCTAATATTTTCAGAATCCTTCTTCTTCAGAAAAGTCTGTTTCAATGAGATTTTTCATTTTATTAAAACTAGACGTTATTAAACAATATATAAAGATAAGCACAGTGACTCCAGATACACTGTATTGAGAGTTTAGATCTACAGTATGTAACGCTGAGTCACATCAGCCTCAGTACCTGAGGGAATCAGTTCATCAAGATTCTCTCATCTCATCCAGATATACATAAATACTGTTATTTGGCCACAGAACTGTATAGCTTTCTAGACCGTGCTGCTTCAGAATACTGTATTTAGAAAATCTGATTCCTTTACTCTGGCATGTACTGCAGATATGACACTGAAGTGACTGGGTGTATCATTACCTGAATCATAGTAGCATACTGTATATTGATTGTATACTACTTCAAGGTTAATGTATTTTTCCCTTTAAAGAAGTACTGATACTGATACATATTTACACTACAATAAAACATATGTCAGATCTATCAATTCATTTCCACCTTTCATGAAAAATGTAATATTGTTCTGACAGGCAACAGGAATTGGTCATTTCAAACCTGCATTTCTAATATGTCTGGCTTTCAATAGCATTTGAAATAGTTGCTTTTTAGTATTACAAAAAAAACCATAAAATGTTTCAATTTACCTGTTGGCAAGAATTCCTTTATCGTATGGTGCAGAACATTGATTACGAGTTTCACCGATCATAAATAGTGCAGCACTGATGGAGCAGGAGTGTAATCCTATGCTGGATTTAGGAAGACGGACAATAACAGAAATGAATCTTATAGTGTAATAAATCAATGTTCCGCCATGCTGAGTGAGAGACAACTTTTTCTATTATGACAGACTTGCCTTATTTGTTATCATCATGAAAGTTTAACATGGAAATATTGGTTTCCACAGCAGACATCCATACTCTTTCCTGTGCCTTTCATAGCTGTTTCTGCCGGCCTACACTGCAGTCCTTTCTGGTCTCATTAACACATTGGAGCACTATTCTCATTGCCTTTTTCAAAGCTGAGTTTTCAATCTGTGCCATTTTAGGTCTCGGCAGAAAAACAGAGGTTATCAAGATAAAAATACATGCACACAAGAGTAATTGCACTACAGCTATATTCCAAGAACTCTCAGTGCTCTTACTGAGAATTAGAGAGCACTGTTCCACTTGACCCATGCAGTACTGCTTTAATAAATCATAATACTTTTCTTAATAACATATTGTTCTAAATATGGTTTTAGCAATTCCAGTAGGAATTCCAGTATATCTGTATGTAAGAGTAAAGAAAACATT